GTTTGTTTGCTTTTTGTTGTTGTCGTTGAGACCGCAGCAATATCCCAGTGGGGTGATTATTTTCAGCCTAGAAGGCTTGGGCAAATCCCGGGCTCGGCTTCCATTTTCATAGTCGAATGGCCGCAGGCGCAAGTCGCACTGTCCTGATCACCTCCCCTCCTAGCCAGTGCCGGAGCGTGCCCTTTCCCGAGGTACCGACTGGACTGACGCGTGCGGCTCAGAGACGCGCTGCTGGCGGCTCTCCTTAGCGGCCGCGACAGCCTCGTTAGCTCCAGAAGCTGCGGTTTCTGTCCCGGGTTCATGGTCTGCACAGCCCCAAGGAGGACTGCTCGGCCGGTCTCCTGAGCGGCGGAAAGCAGAAGCCAGTGTCATCCTCACGGGGTTTGTTTGTAGGTGGCCAGGACATCCTCAGTGAGGCCCTTGCTTGGCCCCGCGTGGATCTAGCAGGCGTCCTTCCCTGAGGGAACTCGGCCTCAGTAACCAGCAGCCGAGATTGGACGGCACGTACAACGCAACGAAAGCTGGTGGAACATGTCTCTGTGTTCCAAGGTCCGCAAATGCGGCGACCTAATTCCAACTTCAAAAGGAATCTGGCCCGCATTTCCCAAGTGCGTGTGCCGAAAAAGTAGTCTTAAAACCCAGGTAATGCTAGTGACACCAGTTCGATCAGTTGATGTTGGTTTGGGGCCATAGAATTGATTTTTTTCTTTGAATTTTCAACTGAATTTTTCAGTTGCCTTTTTTGCGTCATGCGAATACAGCATTTGTGAGACGTAGCAGTCGTACCAGAGGGATAGGAAACCAGATCTCTTTTTTTTCTTTTTAACTGAAGAATGACAAGGAGGGATAATTATTACGAAAGAAGTACACTCCTTGTAGCACATTTTGGAAATACGAATAAGCAAGAAAAACCCAGAGGTGATAACTAAACTTTCAATGTGACCCCTCTCGCTGTAGGTGTGTGTTTAGTTACCACGTGCCTCTGGCTGTTCATGTCCTAAGACAAAGCAACAACAAACTTCTGTAACTATTTGAAACTCTGATCCAAAACATCTGTTTTTTTAGAATTGGCTAACAAAAGTTCTAGTCTCAAATGCTCTAAACTCCTTCGGTGATGTAGTGAATTATTTTGCATTTCTCTAGAGGCAATATAACATTCAAACATTACTTTTTGTCCAATTGATGTTTGACTTAAGAAAATTAGGTATTGCTAGCCTTTCCTAATAATCTGCCCTCAAGTGACTTAGAACTCGATTTATGGCTTCCATAGGGTGGATCATGAAAGTCTCTCAATTTCATCTGAACTTCGAGAGGTTAATTAACATCCACACAGTCTGCCAATGGGAAGTTGGAGGAGGCTAAAGATCTTCCATTTCCTTGATTCTTATTCCCACTTTTTCTCCTTCTCATATCTATTTCATAAAATTGATAGGTACATTTTATACGGAAGAATTTTTGTCTGCAGAACACTGTAATACAATCAACGTAAGGTCTTAGACAGTATCTCAGAGCTGAGGAAATGCACTTGTTAGGAACACAGTTGTTAACTGTTACCAGTTTTCAACAATATACTTATCTCGCACCATGGAGATTTCTCCAAATGTCTTTGGAAAAACCAACACAGTAATCATTTGTTTTTTTTTAAGTTGATTTATTTATTTTGAGAGAGAGCCCAAGCAAGGGAGGAAGAGGAGGAGGAGAAGAGAGAGAGAGAGAATCCCAAGCAGGCTTTGCACCATTAGCATGGAACACAACGAGAAGCTCAATCCCAAGAACCCAACCGTGAGATCATGAGAGAGAGAGAGAGAGCGCGTGAGAGAGAGCCAAGCAGGCTCTGCATCATTAGCATGGAGCACAACGAGAAGCTCAATCCCACGAACCCAGCCATGAGATCATGACCTGAGCCAAAACAGAGTCAGACGCTTAACCGACTGAGCCACCCAGGCTCCCCCAATAATTGTTTTTTTTTTAATTGTTTTTTAATTGTTTTGTTATCCTGAGGTGTGTTGGAGACATCGGGGTGGGGAGGTGAAGGCAGACAGGCCTGGGCCCTAATCCCCATCTGCCACTCAGTTAACTGTATTGTTTGGGATGCGCTGCTTCATTGGTGTTAATCTCAGGTTCTGCATTTACAAATTGGAGATGATGGTGATGTGTCTAGAGGCCCAACCAAGGTAACAAATACTAAGTAGCCCATACAGCTGTTGAAACAGAAGGCTCCTCTTCCTCTTTCCCTAAATCCTCCTTGTGCAACTTTCTGTAAAAAAAAAAAAAAGAAAAGAAAAAAAGCCTATGCGGTTGAAGCCATTCTGGTACCATTTGTAATGCTAACGTTCTGTAAAAACTTCATCATGAAACGAAGAACTAAGCTCTCCACTGTAACTCAGGAGTGATGTAAGTCTAGAAAATGTATCTGAGATTGAGGTGTCTCCTTTCTCCAGTATAGAGGATCATTCGTCCCCTCTGTGTGTATGGACACGCGTCTCCTTCACTTAGAGCTGCGCGAGGCTACCGCTAGTTCGTAGCAGACCATTTACGTAGTGACTTTAAAACCTTATGAAAATTTAGTAGCCTCTTTAATTAATTTCAAGAGAGACTGCAAAAAAACACCCTTACAAAAACAAATGTGACCATTATAACAAGAAAAACGTTTAAGGTATACTCCCCATGACCAGCTGATTACAGCTTCTTTGGTATAAGACTGTATAAAATGTTTGTGGTTTATAGTTCACTCTCCTTTTTCTGTCAGTGATGAACTCAATATTCTTAAAGCATTCCTCTTGACTCTGGAAAAACTGTGGATGGATATCTGTGTTTATGCTGTGAAATTTTGAGTTCGGAATTCTTCAAATTCTAGAAACCTCATCAGTGATGGAGTCACTGTTGTGTATTTGTGAATGAGTTCTGTACTAGTGCAGAAAGAAGATGTCGTATGTGAAATAGCATGCACACTCTGTGGTGACTCAGCCACTAGGTCTGCACAAGTACAGATACTTTGCATGCCCAGAGCAGAGGGGGCATCAGTGCATGCCTGGCATTCTTCCAGCCAAAGGGCTGTTAGTATAGATACTGCATGTTTAAAAATTGAACACACAATATGGCATGTTTCAATTTTTAAAAAGCCATTTATTTATCAAGTATGCATGTCCAAAACTAGGGACCTATAGCGATGCACAATTCTGTACTGTGATATGATCCACATTACCCTAAAATTTAATAGGCCGTGGTATATTTAATTATAAAATGTTAAGCTAATACCTGGATCCAGTTAGGCACACAGCAGTGCATTCTAAACGTGCCTGTTACGAAAGAAAGATGTCACCGTCCTGAAGAGACCCCGTTTGATCAAGCTGGACCTCATGCATTTAGTAAATCTAGCAGACAAATAAGTTTTCAAACGTGGTAATTCTTTTTAGTATTGGTGATGATGATAACGATGAGGCCTTTTTTCTGAAAGAGAGCAACTTCTCTTTGCAGAGATTGCGCCAACTTTGCAGAATATTCAGAAATGGTTCTGCTTGGAGGTGGTAAATATATCGTTTTCTTAAATTGCCATAATAGCGTGTGTGCAGGCCACTGAATCCTAGCCTGTGTGATGTAGCAGTAAGGCGCTACTGGCTTTCAAAATGTTTTCTTCCCCCCTGAGTGTTAACAAGAATCTATTTAGAAAGTGACCTGGCATTTGTTTTAAAATAGAATTGAAACACACCGGTATCCCTGAAGATAATAGGAGAAGCTTTATTCTTAGAGAATCAGAAAACTGTGTCTGGGAATTACCTCTGGAGAGGCCCGTATGAGAAAAACAAATCAGACTTTTTCCGGTGCTGTTGAGATACAGGGCACACGTTTCCTGAGAAACTGACGCTTCTGTTTGGCTAAACTCATTCTCCCAGCCCCATTTTTGGGAAACACAGGTTATTATATGGTATGTAGAGCTACATCCTGTGTATGTAGTATATACGTACTCCATTTGTAGCTCGACGTACTATATAATAACAACTGAATGCCGTGTACAATACACGCCGACTTTAGGAGTTAGACCCTGAAGTCACACTTGCATTTGATCTTTTTGCTATTAAGGCAAGATCTTAATTCTTTTTCAATAAGAGAGAGAATCTTCCAGCTACAGCCTCTTCCCCGGCACACCCTGCACATCAGGTGGCCGAAGTCAAAACCCACGGCAAGTTTTTATATTGAAAACTACAGACTGGAGGTGGTGACTAACAAATAATCCGCTGACGCGAGCTTTCCACGACTCCGTTGGTAATCATTTCATTGAAATTTGTTTACTGCAACATGTTTGATCAAGAGAACAAAGTACCTTACCCGTATGCACCCTGTTGCTGTCCCCCTGGGAGCAGTGGGGGGAGTGACCTGAGCATCTTTTAAAGTTTCAGTGTGGATGGGAGGAAGGTAAGGAGTTAACAAACATCAGAAAGACTCCACAGTACGTGAGCCCAGTAGCAGGGCTGTGCAGGTGCAAGGTCAGCTTCAAGATACCCAAGAGCCTTAAGTCTGTGAGCAAAGCAGTCCAATCCCAGCGTGTTATCAGAAGCTAAGGAGAGGCGTGTGCAGTTTCCCTAACGTGCCTCCTGTGGAACTGCGGGGCCTCGGTGGTTGGTCCCAACAGGCCACGAAGAAAGCTACGCGAAGAGTTAACCTTTTGTAAGAGCGAGCATGTTTCTGTCCCACGTGACAATGCAGCCGACTTGGGTTTTGCTTTGTGCTGAGAGCACTGGATGCAGAGCAGTTTCAGGAAGGGCCGTGTCTTCCTCCTTGAGTATCTCCCCCAGCAATTTAGCAGGACTTTCTTTTGCCATCAGTCTTCCAAAGGGTTTTTGTCTTGGTTTTTTTGTTTTGTTTTGGGGTTTTTTTGTTTGTTTGTTTTTTGTTTTGTTTTGTTTTTTGGCTTCAGAGGGAGAGGAAATGCCCTTCCCTCCGTTTGGCCACAGTGTCACTAAGTAGCTATCACCTGGTGTTCTGTTCTGTTTCTCTTCCAGAGTGAAAGAGTTGAGAAAGGCCAAGGAACTTGAAGACATACAGCAGCGACCCTTAGCAATGTGACATTGCTTTTCAGACTGTTTTCATTTCTGTTTTTAGCAGAGACATGCAACAACTTCGACACACACGCACGCACACACGCACACACACGCACACAATCCCTCTGCAGTTTTGGGGAGATCAGCTGCAGGATTTTAACAGGAATGTGTTGGTCATTGCATTTGCACTTTCATGGACAACTTTTAATTTGATCAGCAAGACATCTTGGAACTCAATCTTCTGTTGGATCACGGGAAAAACAAAACACCACGAGGAATCGAAAGAGGCTTCCTCTCCTCGGGAAGAAGCCGGCTTCCTTCTCATCTAGGGCTGTATTCAAACATCGTGTGGAACTGTACAAATATTTATACCAAAAATATAGATAAGCAAAGGTGGGGATGCGCTCGCAACACAGGAGAACGCTGCTCCTGCACCTGTCTGTTACTTCCAAGAAGCTGAATCTTTGGGATTGACTCTCAGTGGAGGGCTTAGACCATACCAATCTTCATTGGGTCCGTGTGTTCTCATTTCCTTCACTGGTCTTCTTTTCTTTTAATTCGTGTTTGTTTTAATCTCTACAGCACACTTAATGCAACTTTTAAAATCTGCAGGTTTTTAATGTCTTGTGGAAATTTGCAGAGGGTTGGGTGTGTGGTAAACGGGGAATGCATGGGAATTAATGAGAAACAGCTCACAGAGTTTAACTTTATTTTCTTGTCCCCACCACCTCCCAGGAACCTGCGAGTATAGTGACCATCTCGTCCCTTCTGTCATGCTCAGCACTTTCATTTGTGGGCCTTACTTTCATGTGCAATGAGATTTACTTAGAGAATTGGTACAGCATGTAGCTTTTCTTAGTAACCTTGGAAACTGTAGTCATTCTAAGGAATCATAAACCTTGCCTGGACATTTGCCACCTAAAAGATCAGTGTGGTGCTGCGTTCTGGCCAGTAAATTCCATATTTTTGGCTAATAATCTCATCCAAACTGAGCAGTTTCTGTGTATATATAGAAGGTAGAAACGGAAAGTGAGAAATATTTGAAAGGGATTATATTAATTGCTAAATATTTTATTCACAAAGGTCGATAACATGGCGAGATAAAATTATTTGTATAGTTTTGTCTGAATGAGCGAGAAAAATGTGGATGTATTGTTTGTATATATTGTATATATTAAAACAAAGAGATATGTGCATGAAATCAAGAAAAAAGAAATGAACAAAAGCAAAGCATTAGTGGCTATGGTCTGTAAAATGAAACAAAAAAAAACTTTATTTCACTATAAGAGTACTTTATTTTAAATGTTCTTTAGAAGAACATTTTGCTAAAGCATGACTAAACTGGAAAAAAAAAAGAGCTACTGTATTTAGACTTAGGATAAAAGGCAGAGTAACATTACTTAAAAAAAAAAAAAAAGGATATGTTTACATTTAATTTTGGCTACCAGGAGTTTATTTTATTTAATTTAAAATTTTTTTGCCAATGGTGCCAAGTAATGTGAATGCTAATATTGCTTAAGAAAATTAAGTTACTTTTGCTAAACAGATAATCATAAGATGAATCCGTATAGAGCTTAACACCATCCACTCACTCCAACAAAGAACACTTCGAACGATCAAAACCTGACAAAAGAAATAGTACGAAAGGTCGAAAAATGTCTCACGTTTTCATATCTCCTGCTGGAAATCAGAAAATGTAACAAAAATTGCACACACAAAAATAACTAAAAATTTTAAAAGAGGCAAACTGGTCTTGTAAGGTTGTCATGGTCTATTACTCTTTCCATATAATGAGGAGCCAAAGAAATCTGATGCTTTTAAAAATTAAACTACTAACGTTAAATTGAGAGACTAAAGTTCGCATTTGCTGATGCCAGTTTAAAACTCCCAGGTGACGTTTGAGGTTCAGTCGGTGTAAAACTGAGATTAAATAGCTGTGGTGTTGTTTTCTTCTTCCTCTTGGTTCTGGCTGCCAACTGTAAGTTAAAACTCAAGGCTTGTTGTGAAGCCTAAAAATATTCACAAATAAAGCTTTTAAACTGGCGTCTTTAGAAGGAAGGTAGATACAAAAAGATTGTGGTAAAAACTGGGGTCAGTGCTCTTGGTGCCTTTTCTATAATTGTACTTGTTTTTAAATTACTTCCTTTCACTGCCAACCTCGGATTACTGTACAGTATATGTCTTACCGCTTGTGATCAGCTAGGAGAACAGTATCAGCCCCACAACTAGTAACCCACCTGTACATTTGTAAACTGACCTGGTTCCGTTTTGTTTCTAAACGTGTGGGTGATGTTGCAGCTGTTGCGCACACCCCTCCCCACCCCCAGCCCCCAGCCACCTATTATTTTACCCGATTTGACCTATAGGAGGACACTGAGTAATTTACAAACACGCAATTGTATTCATAAATGGGAACAGAATGTGAAAGCCAGCTCTTTCAGAGTATCCTGTATTAGTACTGAATTTAGATACGTTTATTCCATTTCTTAGGGTACAAATAACTGATCTTTTGACAAGAGTAATGACCTCAGTGGATTTGCTTTAACCCTCACATTTCTTTATTCATTTATTTTTTTTTAATGTCTCCCATGCTACATTATTAGCTGAGTAAGTTAGAAACTTCCGGAAGATAAGTACTTAGTAGAATTAGGAGGGTTCTTACCGAGGGGATAGGAAGTAGGTTCAGAACCTACCAGTGTAGCCCCACCAGTACAACTGTGAATCCCGGGTGAGGTACAAATGCACTTCCACTGAAACGAAGCATTTCTGACTGCTTTTTCTTGGTTGTGAATCTTAATTTTGAATATAAGACGATAGGTAAGCGCAGCTTTCTTGGATAATCTGAATTCCCAAGTGCCAGGAGTAGGATTTCATTATAAAATTAATAGCTAATCTTATTCTGTCTCCTGAAGATTTAATTGCTATTCTTGTTACCCATTTGAAATCAGCTGTACTGTGTGAACGAAACAAAGACAATAACTCGAACCCCTCTCTGGCTGCACGGTCGCTTACGGCAGTTCCACACAGTAGTTGGCGCCCAATGGGGGGTCCCTGAGACTTGCATGTAAAACTAGTCTAGATGTCTTCTTTTTTGTAAGTTTTATTTTTGTAATTGTGCATGTAAAGCATCATTGAATCAATGGATCTGTTGAAGAACTCAGCTGCTGGAAACCATGCAAAATGTTTTGAATTGCCCTTAAAATATGGAAAATGTTTTCTGAATGCTTTATATTCTTTCTGCTGTAAATTAAAAACGAAGAAAATTTCCCCATACTATGTGTGTGCTTTGCTTTAACTTCACCTGCTGTTGAAATCCAGGGTGCCCCCACATGTTTCAAACCATACGTTTTATCTCCTTAGATCTAGACACGGTGTTGTGGCGTCGACGATTCCATAGTTTCGGACACGTCCGTGAAAGAAAGAGAAATTTTTTTAGTGTTTATTTATTTTGAGAGGGAGAGCGCGAGCGCAGTAAGGGCAGAGAGAGAGGGAGAAAGAGAATCCCAAGCAGGCTCCACGCTGTCAGCACAGAGCCCCATGTGGGGCTCGAACTCACGAACCGGGAGGTCATGACCTGGGCTGAAACCAAGAGTAGGATGTTGAACCGGCGAGCCACCCAGGTGTCCCTGAAGGAGAAATTTCATTGTAAGCCACCGTCCCTAGAACACTTGCTTTCCAACAGGTTTCTCAGTTACCTGAAGCATAAAGACACCAATCTAACTTCACCTCGGCAGCTAAAACCCCCCGCGGTTTTTAAGTCACTTTCCACCGGACTACTAATATCCGTCTTCTCTGAGAATCTGTCCTCCTCTCCTTCCCTGTCACTGCAGAGTGGCAGCTCGTCGCCCCCGGAGTCCGTCTCAGGGCCCCGGCCGGACCAAATCTGCAGGGTCTTCCCCGACTCCACGAGGCTCCCGTGGTTTCCTGAGCCAACTGCATTTGATTGACGCTTTCCTTTCTTGTGTAGCCTCACTCTTGTATTCTGTCTTATTTTCACCTGTGACCCAGCCTGCCCCTTCGGCTTGGCTGATGCAAACCTGTCCATTTCCACTGTAGTCTTTGTTCAGGTTGGTTCATCCCTTGCCTGGAAATTCTCTTCTTAGCTGCTGACCCAACTCAAATCCCACCTCGTCTGGGACACTCTTGTTTATCCTAATACACACCAACGTTTCCCTTTTCAAATTAGTACACTGACAGGACAGTTCAGTGTTTCAGCAGTTTGTTCTGTCCTTTCTCATCTCCTCTGCCAGGCGACCTAGCCGTGCTTGGCAGCCTTCTGTTTAAGGCAGGCGTTATCTGCGTGGGTAGGAATATGTTCAATAACCGCTTTAAATTCACTGCAGAGAACTCTCTGCACGCAGGTCTGTGCCTCCACCTACAGCCCAAAGCTAAGGGCCTGCTCTGCCAGGGCCCGGGGAATACAGAAATGTAGACCCTCAACGCAGCTCTTGATGCCCAGGCTGCCGTCATGGTCTATGCAGTGACAAATACTTGAGTCACAAATGAACACACGGAGAAAGGAGCCTAACCCAGTCCACGCCCAGGAGAAGTACCCCCAAATGCACTTCCGGTCTCACTGTAACAAATCTTCGGGGGGAAGCGTGGTGTCCGCAGCGCCAGCAGGTTAACGTGGGGCGTTAGCGGAAGCGCGCAGTCAGCCCCCGGGACTGTCAAGGCCAGAGAAACGGCCCCCGGGCCCAGAATAACGCACGCGCTCCCGCTCCGATTTACCTACAGTCCCTTCCCGCGTCCTCTGGCGTCACCAGGTGGCCCGCGGGCCGCTCGCGGGCAGCGCGACAGAGGCCCGCGCACCGCGCCGCGCAGTCAGCCCGCGCCGGCCGCCCAGCCCTCCCGGGTGGCCCCGCCCCGGGACGCCCCGCCCCCAGACGCCCCGCCCACCTCCGGCGCGCCCCTCCGCGGCCGCGGGCGGTGACGTCATCGGCCCCGCGCCGCCGCCCCGCCCAGCTTCCCCGGCCTCGGAGCCCGCTGCACCGCTCTGCTGACCGTCGCCCGCCGCCGCCGCCGCCGAAATGTGAGTGACGCGGCGGGACGCGGGGCGGCCTCGGGTCCCGGAGGGCGGCGGCCCGCGGCTGGGACCCTCCCCGGCACGGTTCCCGCCGGCCGCCGCTCGGGCGCGGGCCTGCGCGGAAGCTCCCGAGGCCTAGGGGTGGGCGGCGGCCCCTGGGGTGCTGGCTGCGGGCGGGCCAGGTCCGCCCCACTGCGCAGCCGACAGCCCCGCGGCCGTCGGGCGGTCGCGGAAGGGCCAGGGGCGGGGAGGGGGGGGCGGCCGGGGGCATCCCGAGGTAGGAAACGCCCCCCCGCCGCCCCTACCGCAACCCCACCGCTTCTTCCGTTTCCCCAACAACCGGCCCAAGGTCCCCGGGGGGAGCGGTGGCCACTGCCCTAGACCCGGAGCGCCTGCTCGCTGCCAGGCGTGGGCTGGGCTCCGGAAGTTGCAACCGGAGAGATCTCGGACCTGTCTAGAGGCACCTGTGGTCAGAGTGTACTCGGGCAGAGCTGTGGACCTTCTCTCTTTAAGCAGAAGCTGTCTTGTAGTGGCCCTTGAAAACATGGAGTTTGCCGCAGGAACATTCAGAGAAAACTGTCAACAGACGGGAGGACCCTCTGCCCCGCCCCCCCCCAATCCTGTTCATTACTCACCTACAGAGGAGGAAGGAATGGGTGCTTTCCATGGGTTCCTTGTAGGAACTAAGGATCACCACAAGAGTGTGCCTGGCTGAGGCCGCTGTGCCAGTAAATTACAGTGGTTAAGCTCTCGATCCGTGGAGTTAAGTGAAACCTGGTCTAAAGACAGATTCCACTGCAACCAGCTGTGTTGACTTTCGTAACCTCACTTTATGCGTCTGTAAAATGGGTTTACCAGTAGTACTTCCCTCAGAGAATCATGAGAATTATGTGAGAAAACACATGGAGGAAATGTGCCAGTACGTGGCCCTTCGCGATTATCTGTCAGACAATTAAAAGAAACTGTAAGGGCAGGCATGGCGCCTGCCGCATCCCTGGTGTTTGACACCCGGTAGGTATAAGGAACTTGGATCAGTAGCTCTTGTGTACAAGATGCTTGCTAGGTGCCGTCTTGGATACAGGCAGGAGGCTTCTAAGACACAGGAGTCTGTGATCTATTGGGAGAGCAAGACAGTACCGATGACCTTTGAACAACACGGGTTTGAACAGTGCAGGTCTACTTACAGGTAGACTTTTTTTCTATTAACTACAGTACGGTACTGTAATTGTATTTTCTCTTACAAGTTTCTTAACATTTTTTCTCTAGCTGACTTAATTATAAGAAAACAGTGTATAAGACATATAACAAACAAAGTCACGTATTACTCGACTGTTTATGTTCTTGACAAGGCCCCTGGTCAGCGGCAGGCTGTTAGTAGTTAAACGTTTGGAGGAGTCAGAAGTTACATGCAGATTTTCAACTGTGGAGGGGGCGAAAGGGGTGGGCATCCCTTACCCCCACCTTGTTCAAGGGTCAGCTGTGTGTGTGAGTGTGAAAAATCAAAGTGTGGCCAGCCAAGTAATGGAAGCAACGAGGAACTTCAAAGCCACAGTGGTCAAGAAAGATGTGGCTGGCGGGGCGCCTGGGTGGCTTAGTCGGTTAAGCGTCCGACTTTCGCTTGGGTCATGATCTCACGGATCGTGGGTTCGAGCCCCGCGTCGGGCTCTGTGCTGACTTCCAGCTCAGAGCCTGGAGCCTGTTTCAGAGTCTGTGACTCCCTCTCTCTCTGACCCTCCCCTGCTCACGCTGTCTCTCTCTCTCCTANAAAAACAAGGATGAGAAAACAGCCTTTGATCAGAGTAGAAGAGAAATTCCATAGAATATTGGTGCAATGCAACTAAACTGAAGAGGGAAAATAACCCAACCCTGCTAGTCTAATAATACTGTATTTCAAGAAATAAGAGGATCCAGGGACGCCCGGGTGGCTTAGTCGGTTGATCATCCGACTTTCACTTAAGTCATGATCTCGCGGTTCGTGGGTTCGGGCCCCGCGCCGGGCTCTGTGCTGACTGCCAGCTCAGAGCCTGGAGCCTGTTTCAGAGTCTGTGACTCCCTCTCTCTCTGACCCTCCCCTGCTCACGCTGTCTCTCTCTCTCCTAAAAATAAATAAAACATTAAAAAAAAAAAAAAAGATGTGGCTGGGGAGAAATAGGCATTCAGCAAAGACTTTGAAAGAGGAGCACCTTTTAATAGAGAAAGCACTGCTTCATCTCACTTTCCCGCCCGCACCACCTCCTGCCTGCACCAGGCTGTTCCTGACCCTGGTTCTGTAAATATATTTCTCTGTACTGGAAAAGTGGCATTCTGTGATTGTTTATAACTATGAAAAACATTCCTGCCACAATGAAAGAGCAGAAGAGTACTGGGTGCATTTAAGAAGATGTGTGTCTTTAAACAATAAAATAATTGTAAGGTAGAGCTTCCCTGTGGTAGGATCCCTCATCTTAGGATCAGGTGCTTCAGTGATGCAGAGTAGATCTTATTAACCCTGCACTTTAGACCCTGGTCACTTAAAAAATTTCTTAAATGTTTTTTATTTATTTCTGAGAGAGAGAGAGAGAGAGAGACAGTGAGCAGGGGAGGGTCAGAGAAAGAGGGAGACACAGAATCTGAAGCAGGCTCCAGGCTCTGAGCTGGCTGGCAGCACAGAGCCCCACACGGGGCTCGAACCCACGAACCACAAGATCAGGAACTGAGCCGAAGTTGGACGCTTAACCGACTGAGCCCCCCAGGCACCCCGACCCTGGTCACTTTGAACATATGGATGAAACTTGGAGATTATAAAAGAATTAGAAGGTACGTCATTGAAACCGTTGTTTCTTCCTGTAGGAAGGATTTCTTTCTCTGCTTTAGTCCTGAGGCTTCTCCCAGGGAGGGTCTTGGAGCAGCGCCCCCATGCTTCACAAGAGTGTGTTTGCAGTAATAGTTTACTCACGCTTGTGCCTTTACACGTTTCAGGTCTACAGGCGCACCTGCAGGCCCGAGTGCCGTCTCTGGCAGTAACCGAAGACTTCAGCAGACACAAAATCAAGTGGATGAGGTATTGCTCTAAAATGCTGCACACGGTGACTTTTACTCCAGCGTGGGAACACTCTGGAAATAACTCTGTTTAGAAAAAGTATCATCAAAGCATGAATGTAAAGGAAAATTCGGCTGTTTCAGAAATGTAACAAACACGTGTCCCCTCCTGTTCTGAAAGCCCTGAGCTGAGCTTCTGCGAAGTTGGGCTCCAGATGTCATGCTGGTTTGGTTTCCCTGTGACTGAACCGCATTGTCTAAACCACAAACCCTCCTCCTGAGGAACACTCCTCCAAGAACCACCTGAAAGATATATTTTGCCACAATTAAAAACAAAATTGGAAAAGGAAGAAAGAACCACTTTATAAAATAGGGTAATAGATGGGCGCCTGAGTGGCTCAGTCAGTTGGGCGTCCGACTTCGGCTCAGGTCATGATCTCACAGTTTGTGGGTTCGAGCCCCGCATTGAGCTCTGTGCTGACAGCTCAGAGCCTGGAGCCTGTTTCGGATTATGTGTCTTCCTCTCTCTCTGACTCTCTCCTGCTCACGCTGTCTCTCTCTCAGAAATAAATAAAACATTAAAAAAAAAGAAAATAGGGTAATAGACTTTTAGGGATTAGATCTATAGATTGTTCAAGCCAGGACCAATCCCTCTGACCAGATTTTTCATCAAAATGCTTTCTCTGGTAGCCTGACGCACTGGTTCCCAGGCTGGCGCCAGCCTCTAGAATTCAGTGCCAGCTGTTGCCCATTCATGTACAGAAGGTGGATGGTGGCAGCCTGCTCTGGCGCGACAATTCTGTATTTGTGGAATTCTCGAGTTAGAAGACCCTCAGAGCATCTTTTGTTCTGCTCTGTATCTGCAGTCCCACGATGGAAGACTGTATGAGATTCAGACTAGTATTTCTGTAGCCCTAAGAGACGTCAGTGTCCAACAAAGATGTCATGGTCTTTCTGCATTTAACTGCTTTAGAAAGCAGAGTTAGGCGCGCCTGGGTGGCTCAGTCGGTTAAGCACATCTGACTTCGGCTCAGGTCATGATCTCACAGTTTGTGAGTTCAAGCCCGACATCGGGCTCTCTGGAGCCCGCTTCAGATTCTGTATCTCCCTCTCTCTCTGCCCCTCCCCCGCTATTGCACGCGCGTGCTCACTCTCAAAAATAAACGCTTAAAAATTTTTTTTTTAAACCAGAGTTAAACTTAGCTTAGATTCCGCTATTAAATCATCTGGCGATATTTGGGTCTGATGGTTTTGTTTATGAACTTAATTCCGAAAATTTTACATTTCCGTGGTAAGAAACCCATTCTGATTCCGTCCTGGATGAAACTGCCGTTTACTTACAAAATCAAACCGGGTCCTTTTTCTTAAGCAAAAGAATTTTAAAGAGAGGTGGTTTGGGTTTTGGTTTCATTCTTAATGGAGGTAAAATTTACATACATGCAGTTAGCCATTTTAAATTGTACAGTTCAGTAGTGTTTGGAGTGTCCACACTGTTGTGCAACCATCCCCCTGTCTGGTGTCACTACGTTTTCATCGCCCCCAAAGAATACCGTGTACACATTTACTAGTCGCTTCCTGTTCCCCCTTCGTCCCATCCCTGGTAACCTGTAATCAGCTGTTTATGGATTTGCCTAGTCTGTCTGTGTCATGTAAAAGGGATAGCACAATAGGTGGCCTTTTGTGTTTGGCTTCTGTCACTCATTCCACAGCATGTTTTCGGTGTTCATCCACCTCATTGTATGTGTCAGTACCTCGTCCCTTTTTATGGCTACATAGTATTCCACTGTGTGTGCATACGTGATTTATGTGTCCACTCATCTGTTGATGGTTTTTTGAATTCCCACCTCTTGGCAATTACGAATACTGCTGCTGTAAACATTCACAAACAAATTTCGGGGTGGATGTATGTTTTTATTTCTCTTGAATGTGTATCTAGAAGTAGAAATTGCTAGATTATGTGGTACTTCTGTGTTTCACTGTTTGGGGAACTACCAAACTTTCCACGGTGGCTGTGCCAGTTTACTCTCTCACCAGAAGTGCCCAGGGCTTCCTGCTTCTTGGGGTGGTCCTCACCAACACGTGTTACTTTCTGTTTGCTTTGAGAATAGCTGTGCTGGTTAGTGAATATGGAAGTATTTCATTGTGGTTTTGGTTTTTATTTCCTTAATGACCAGTGATGTTGAATATCTTTATATGTGCTCATTGGCCATTTGTATACATTCTTTGTAGAAATGTCTTTTCAAGTCTATGGCCTGCTTTTTAATTGCATAGATTCCCATCTTGTTTCTGGGTGGTAAGAAGTCCATATATTCCGGATATTAAACCCTTTAGGTTAAAAAATGGGTTAAAACTCATTTTAGGGTGAAATGATTTGTAGATATTTTCTTCCATTCTGCAGATTGTCTTTTCACATCCTTGATAATGTCTTTTGAGGCATAAAAGGTTTTCATTTTTGTAAAGTTCAATGTATTTATTTTTGTTGTTATTCTTGACTTGGTGTCAAATCCATGGCCAAATCTAAAGTTAAGATGATTTGCTCTTCTGTTTTCTTCTAAGAGTTCTATAGTTTTTAGCTCTCATAGGTCATTGATCCATTTTGGGTTAGTTTTTACATACAGGGTGAGGTTAGGGGTCCAACCTCATTGTTTTGCCTGCGGCTGCCCAATCGTCCTAGTACTGGTTGCTGAAGAGACTGTCTTTTTCCTCACTGAATGCTCTTGACAGCCTTGTCCAAAATCAACTGGCTGTTGATGTTTGGGTCGATTTCTGGATTCTCAGTTCTGTTCCATTGGTCTGCATGTCTATATTTATGCTAGAGTCACACACTTTGATTTCTGCAACTTTGTTGTAAGGTTTTGAAATCGGAAAGTCAGAGACCTCCAGCATTTTCGTTTTCAGTATTGTTTTTGGCTATTCTGGCCCCTTGCAATTCCGTAAAAATTTAAGGATTGGCTTTTCCATTTCTGGGAGGAGGTTATAGGGAGAGGACAGTAGAATTTTCATACAGACTGTGTTGAATCTGTACACCTGTACATTGCTTTGAGGCACCTTGCCATCTTAACAATATTCAGTGTTCCCATCTGTGAACATGGAGTGTCTTCCCATTTAATTAGGTCTCTAATTTCTTTCAGCAGCATCTTGTAGTTTTCACTGTGCAAATATTCTGCCTCCTTGGTTTCATTTATCCCCTGGGTATTTTATTCTTTTGGATGCCGTTGCATACGGAGTTATTTTTTTTAATTTCCTTTTTATTTCTAGTATATGGAAACATTCTGATTTCTGGGTGTTGATCTTGTAACCTGAACCCTTACCGAATGTGTTTATTAACTCTAGTGGTGTGTGGATTCTTTGGGATTTTCTGTATGTGGAATCATCTGCAGATAAAGATTTTATTTATGTCTTTCCAATTTGGATGCCTTCCGCTTCTTTTCTTGCCGAATTGCTCTGACCAGAACTTCCAGCGCAAGGTTGAGCAGCATTAGTGAAAGTGGGCATCCTTATCTCGTTCCTGATCTCAGGGACAAACTCTTTCACGTTCATGTTGAGCGTGGATATTAGTTGTGGGGTTTTCCATAAATGTCCTTTATCTTGTTAGGGAAGTTCCCTTCTATTCCTAATTTGCTGAGTGGTTTTATCATGAAAGAGCGTGCCCCCCCTCCCCCATTTATAAATGAAAGCTTGGCCCAAAGCAATAAGTTCTGACCTGAGAGAAAACGTGCCGTTCACTTCAGTGAGCGTTGTGTTGGCTCTTCCCCTCCTGGGTGTGTAACTCGGTGTGGTCCCGTTCGCTCAGGTGGTGGGCATCATGAGAGTCAACGTGGATAAGGTGTTGGAAAGAGATCAGAAGCTCTCGGAGTTGGATGATCGTGCGGACGCGCTGCAGGCTGGAGCCTCCCAGTTTGAAACCAGTGCCGCCAAGCTGAAGAGAAAATACTGGTGGAAGAACTGCAAGGTAATTTTCTTCCCACTGCTTTGGGCATTAAGTCGCCCACCATAGTCTCACAGGGCCAGCTGAGCCTCCAGGAGTCCGACGTCCGGGACTGCTGGAGGGGAGTCGGACGTCCCATACGTGGAAGTGTGGATTGACTCTGAGGCTAAGGCACTGGCTGCGTGCCCATTTCCTAGCCCCTCAGCTAGGAATTCTCCAGGATCTGTGGCTGACCTTAAGCTCGTGGAACAGGAATGTCCAAAACCTGACATAAACATAAGCCCCTTCCATCCCCCCCACCCCCACCCCCGCATCGCCCTGAACACAGACTGGCCGTGGAGGGCTGGGATTGGAGGCCAGTTGGCATGTGGTTGAGTGAAGGGCCCCAGCGTCACGGGAAAGGGCAGCGGGCCAGCCAGTGTGCCCCGCGGGAGCACGGCGAGCAGCCCCGCGGGGAGCGTAGCCCAAAGCAGATGCTCTGCAGCTACCACTGCCCAAGTGGACCCCGCCCCCTTCCTGGACAGAAGTGACACTTCCTGATACACAGGACAAGGTAGCAGCCCTTCTTGCATGCAGAACTCGTGCGCACGAACAGATGCCTCTCTGGGGGCTGCAGGCCAACTGACCATCTTATAAAAAGCAGATGAATAACTTCATGCCCCAAGCGAGAACGGTAAATTTAGGCTTTAAAAATTGTGACTTATTTCAGATTGTAGCACTCCTTAATTTCTCTGTCAGTGACTAGACTATGACACTCTTCGCTCTCTGTGTTTGAAATGTGAAATGGTCTGTTTCGTCACAGATGTGGGCGATAGGGATTGTCGTCCTGGTCATCATCATCGTCATCATCATCGGTGAGTTCTGTGGCCTGAACTCGTTTGGGTCTCCTCTGTTCACAGCTGATCCCACAAACAAGAACTCAGAGTAGAAGTTCCCTCAGAAGCGTTAGTTTACTCCAGAGATTTTCCTTTTCTTCAGTAAATGTTTTAAATACTTGAGTGTTACTGCAGCAAAGCCCAAGGTTTTTGATGTAAACAGTGATGCTCTGAAGTTAGAGAAGATGCATTCGTGGTCACTGAGCTGACCTTTAGGCCGCTGGTATCCTGTACCACTGACTACATTTTCTTCTTTTGTTAATGTTTTATTTATTTTTGAGAGAGAGCACGCACGCACCTGCATGAGCAGGGGAGGGGCCGAAAGAGAGGGGGCCAGGACCCGAAGCGGGCTCCGCACTGATGACGGCAAGCCCAGTGCGGGGCTCGAACTCACGACCTGTGAGAGAACAACCTGAGCTGAAGCCGAATGCTCAGCCAACTGAGCCCCCCAGGGGCCCCTCACTGAGCACCTCTTCATCAGATACTTCCTTTTACAAGAAACAGTACAGTCTGTTGAAGAAAAGCATGACTGCCCGTTATCCACCACAGCTCTCCGACCACCCAGCCCGTGTGGCCTCAGACAAATAATCGAATGTCTCTGAACCTCAGTCTCCTCATCTGTAAAGTGGGAATAGTAACAGCACCTACCCCATATGTCTGTTATGAGGACACGACTGGCTAACGTACAGAAAGTGAATAGGCTGGTGCCCGGCATGTAGTAGCGACCGCTGTAGGAGGAAGTAAATCCCTACACACGCCCCTCACCCACAGGCATTATTACTGGTATTACTATTACTACCGCTGTATATCCCACCAAACAAGCCGTTGATATTTTTACCCCCACACATGGGAACGATTTGCGAAAGCAGTTTTTCCAGTCCTTTCTTTTAATGGTGGCCTCAAGCCCTGTGTGCAGTGTAGAGAAGCCCCCCGTCAGAGGCCGGCCAGACTGATTTCCACGGTGGGACTGCGACATTCAGGGTTAACCCTGGGCTTGCACTGAGACACTAACCGGCTGTTTCCTCTGCTCTTCTCCTGTCTCCCCTGCTAGTGTGGAACCTCTCCCCGTGAAGGACCAGCGTCTCCAGCCTGCTTCTCCAGAACCCTCTTCCAGACGTTTGACTTAGAACCTGCTGTCCTCTCGAGCTCGCCTCCTGTTCTGTCTAAAGTGATTATTTTCTGTTTGTTACTGTCAAGTTTAATTTCTAGGAAACGTGCCTTTGTTGTCGTAAGCACTCCAGACTTGAAGTGCGGCCGCCCGGCCCACACTTGGCCCGGCGCCTTCAGACTGCCCTGTGGCTGAGGAAGCGGACTCCTTAACCCTCTGGAACCGGCGTGGTAACTAGAAGTCCCGCCGAGTGGTTAGTTGCCATTAATTCCAGTGAAGGGGGTGTGTTCCAAAGTCAGCTCTCCCTGTCACACGGCATATTAAGAACCACGTTTTAAACGTTTAGGTAATCCGAATTCCAGTTTGTGCCTTCCAGAAAGAACACTACTGCCTGACGCAAACCATACCAGGTTGTGCCTTATTTTGCTATTTTTCTGATCCCCTATAAGAGAACGCTGCACTGTTTGTAAGCACTACTGACTCTCACGCTGTATTTAAAAGTAAGATTCTGATAAAAAGGTTTTGCTCTTACTGTAGGTAGGAAGATGTTTGCTTTCCTGTTACTGTTTTATATCACTTGCTAAAAACATTATTTTCATCAGAAATAATCGCCTCCTTAAAACATTTTTATAGAGCTAAGGCCGTGACCAAAGTTTCTATTTTGCCAAAAAGTGAAATGCCAGTACAACGTCCTTAAGTCTGTTCCCGACAGAGACATTCAAAAAAGTGACAAATGGAACTTCAGGTGCCCTTCAGAATTAAAAGTACAATATAATACGTGAACTTCTACATCCTAACAGGCCTTTCTTGCCTTTGAGATGCTGTATGTGGTGCATTTCTGATGGAGTATTTCTCCCGGGACTTAGAGGAGGTTTAAGCTAGACCCCGACCACCTCCTACGTTGACACTGAGCTTCACCCCGCAGTTTGCAGATCATCGGCTGTGGGCTCCAGTAGGTTTCCAGTAATTATGTGAGCGACCATTTTGTAGCCTTCATGTGAGACCCATCCGTGAGCTGGTCATTTAGTGGCCCCGTCCCCATAGACGATAGCTTTTTGGAGTGTGTTTCTTATTTTTATCCATATTCCACTTCCTAAGTCTGTCTTCTCCATGATGCTTTCAGTGAGGCAGTGGTCAGGGGTGGATGACTCTTCTCACAGAGAACAGCCAGCCAGACACGCTTTTCTGTTGTCGCTGTCATAGTCTGTCTGCACAAGACGCTGCTTTGGAAATAGCTTTGTCACCCGAGAGACCTGTTGTGTACGTGAGACTTTCACCATCAGGGTGTGTGGCTTAAGGATGGGCATTTAGGTGGGAATGACAACAGGCAAGGAGGCGCTGAGGGGGAAATTCGGAGGTTATCACCACCCTGGCCCATGGTTACCATGGTTACCAGAGGATTCTAAAATTCCCGTTCGCATGCGAGCGCGTGACTTACAAAGCAACAACAGATGAGCTGCAGTGGCAGCACGGGCCCCACTGCTTGAACATCTGGTCCCCTGACATCACGGAAACGACGCGGTGACGCGGTGTTGAAGCCACACCCCGCAGGATGCCTGTGCAAAGGGAGCCGCCGTCAGTGTCGGGACACTAGCTCGCCCTCGGCTCAGGGTCCCTGGCCGGTCTGACTCTGAAACCTTGGTGCTCACTCCTTGCCTGAGGCCCAGCCCCACGTAACCCGCCGGCTCGCGCGTTAACCCAGGGGCACCTCGCTTGTGTCTGTGCATCTGGCTGGGAACTTGCCCCCTATAAGGAACTGAATAAACTGTTTATAAACTTGTTTCTGGCACCTGTGTTGCTTGTGAAAGAATAACTGCACCTGGTCCAAGTCTTACCACTGGCTTTTCCTTGCTGCTGCCTCCGCCTCTCACCTCCTGGCCCCCAGCCCTTCCCCGTCCCCTCCCCTCGGGAACAGGATAGGACATGAGCGGGGGACTGGCTTTCCCACGATGACCGAAATGATCAGGATCTAGCTTTTTGAGTTTCTTAAACATGCCTGGGTGGCTCGGTCGGTTAAGCATCTGACTCTTGATTTCAGCTCAGGTCAGGAACTCACAGTTGCTGAGTACGAGCCTCGAGTCAGGCTCCACCCTGGCAGCTCAGAGCCTGCTTGGGATTCTTTCTACCCCTCCTGCATGTACTCTCTCTCACTCGCTTGCTTTAAAATAAATAAACTTAAAAAAAACAAAGAGTGATATCCAGAGCTGGCCCTGTATGTGGTAGATAGCCACCTATAGGGCTCATGGGGAAGATAGGTGGGTGACACGGATGAATGACAGACTTCTCCGAACACGTGGCTCTTGTTTTGACTCTGCACATCCTTCCCCTTGAATCTTAATCTACAACCCCAAGGGGACAATATAATACGGGTGGAAGTAGCCTTTGCTTATGTTTGTAATAAAATGCCAGTTTCCTGTGAAATCCTAGTGGGAGACAAAACATCGGCTTCTTCTCATTCCCTTGGATAAACGGTCACGGCTTTTCCTGCTGACCTACTGTTACGTCCCAGGAAAGCACTAACAATAGAATTGTGCTGTTTGTTCAGGACCTTTATATAATGAAAGCTATATGAATTTTGGTGCCATTTTCAAGATTTTGAAGGAAAATGGTAGAGAAGCTAATGGGCTTCTCTACCTCTCCCTTAATGTCAGGATTCCATAGCCAGCTGGGTCCCTGAGGCCAACTTCTCTTTCTTACTCTCCCGGGGCAAGCTTACCTATTCCCACATCTCTATTCATTAATGCCCTGATGATTCCTGGCCTAGTAGACCCAGGCCTCAAACTCAAGGTGGACCAAACAGAATGAAGCATTCCCCTGCCTCACTCCCCTCTTCTTACTAGTGTCTGTTCCCAAGAATGGGACCACTGTCCATCCAGGGTCCACGCGAGACAAGGCCACTGGACTTGCTGATACATATTTTTAATTTTTGAGAGAGTGTGAGCAGGGGAGAGGCAGAGAAAAAGAGGGAGAGAGGACCCCAAGCAGGCTCCGCGCTGACAGCAGAAAGCCCAGTGTGGGGCCTCGAACTCACGAGCCGCGAGATCACCACCTGAGCTGAAGTCGGACACTCAGCTAACCGAGCCGCCCAGGTGCCCCTGGACTTGCTGTTATTTTTGATCACCACACATACCGCTCAGAATGTGCTGTAGGTGTGCTGTATAATTAACATTATAAATAAAAATCTCAACGGCTTAAAGCTTTTTCCTCACTCGGGGTACATGTCCAATGCCAGGCTGCAGGAAGCTTCTATCATCAACCGCTCAGGGAGGGACTTCCTGTAAACATTTGTTTCTGGTTATCACTGCGGCAGGCAGAAAGGGAGCATCAGGAATTGGGCACTGGCTCTCAAAGCTTCCTTCTGGAAGTGGGGCTCAGCTCTGCTCACATTTTACTGGCCAACGCAAGTCACATGACCATGCCTAACCTGGCAGGTGGCAGGGAACACGTGTCACCGGAAGGATAAATGCGACATGTTTACGAACATTTGCCTTCCTGGTGGCGATTTATTTCAACGAATGGGGCACATTCCTCTTGTCTCATAAATATTTTCTAACAAGTGATGCATCCTACATGATAAATTCTGTATCTGCCTCACTAACAAAATGTTTCTTAAAGTATTTTTTTAATTGGTTTTGAGTGAGGATTGTTCGCTTTAAAATCAAACTGTTTTGTGCATTTAAAAATAGCATCCTTGGGGCGCCTGGCTGGCTCAGGCGGTGAGGCGTGTGACTCTTGATCTCCGGGTTGTGAGGTCAAGCCCCACAATGGGTGCAGAGATTACTTTAAAAAATCTTTTTAAATTTAAAAATAGCATCCTTATTTGCAACTGAGCTGCTTTTCAGGCAAGCAGAAAATTCAATCTGTAAAACTACATCCACTAGATAAACCAATTATGGCACAGTTATTAGAAAAGTTTTTTTTTTTCTCATCCTTTAACTAGCAAGCTAAGTGCATTTCAAAATCGACTTGTTTTTATGCCGCCAAGACCAAGGACCTGTTAACGCAGGTGCCTGCCTCTCGATTCTGAGCCTGAAGGAGGCCTGCCCTCCAGCAATTCTCTGTTGTCTGCAGCTCGTCTCCTGCTGCTTCCCTTCTCCCTCCTCACTGGATCGCCCCCCCCCCCCGTCAGCCCCTAACCGCTATCCCCACATCCCTCCCTTCAAACACACACTTGTCTATAGCCCCAAGCGGCAAAATCCGTCCCCATGGTCCCCGTCCCCATGGTCCCCTGTCGTCGCTGCCTCACACCATACTTTTCCTTCAGCCATCACTACTGAGACATCTTTAACCAAGGCCACTGACTTGGTGAAACACAACAGGAAATCCTCTGCCCTTGTCTTCCTCTGAGTCACCAGCATTTGATACAGTCTTAATAGCTCTCACCTTGAAATATTTTCTCTAGTGTCCATGACCCAACATTCTTCTGCTTTTCTTCCAACCACATCTATGGCTCTTTGTTCTTCGCTTGGCTCTCTCTCTCCCTTTTAACTTTTTTTTAAAGGTTATTTATTTTTGAGAGAGACAGAATCCCAAGCAGGCTCTGTACTGTCAGCGCCGAGCCCGACACGGAGCTCCAACTCACAAAACCGTGAGATCACGAACTGAGCTGAAATCAAGAGTCAGACGCTCAACGGACTGAGCCCCCTAGACGCCCCCTCACTTGGGTCTCTGCTCGGCCTCCGAATCTCCACGTGCCCCCGGTCCTGGCCATTGGCCCTTTTCTTTCTATCCGAACTCTGATGGCGACACCATTTCACGCATGGCTGTAAACACCATAGGGGCTCTGGCCTCTCCCAGATGTAAGCTGTTATCTCCCTCCCTGCCTTCTCCCTTGAGTTCTAGGCTGGGAGATCCACTCACCCACCTGACAATCCCACCTGCCTGTGTCATGCGCATTTCGAACATAACACGTGGAGAACAAGTCTCCATTCTCCCTTCATCGAAACTTGCCAGCCCCAGATTTGTCCATCTACGTTGATGACCCACGAAACCCAGCGCTGCTTAAACCAAAGACCCAGGAGTCACCTTTGACCACTCTCCTTTCTCACGACATACATTCAACTCAACGGCAAGTTTGTGTGCCCCAAACGCACCCCACATCTAATCATTCCTGTCACCCTCCTTACTGGTGTCACCCTAGTCTGAGCCATCCTCAGCCTTTTCTTGTAACTACCAGCTTCCTGTTACATGCTTCCTGTACGACATTCTGGTTGATACAGATCACTATCTTGCTTAAAATCCTCCTCCTTCCGCTACGATGAGAAGACAATCCTAATTGTGTTCCCGGACTATAATCTGGCTCTTCCTAACCTCCTGACCTCCCCTCACACCTTTCCTCCTCCCTCTGGCTATTCTCCCCGCAAAGCATACTGCCTTTCTGTTCCGTAACACGCCTGTTCTTTCAGGCCCTGGGCAGGTGCACTCTGCTCCCTCCGCACCCCCACCCCCACACTCAGGTTTCAATTCACCTTCTCAGAAAGGCTTCCCTGATCACCAGGATACTGTGTCTCTGGCCCCCTTCACCGTCCACCCCATCCCAGCCACACGTCACCCCATTAGACTGCTTCCTGTGGCACAGAGCACTTTCCACTCTCTGACCCCTATGGACTTGCTTGTGCTTTAGGCCTTCGTAAAACGTAGCCTCCCTGAATGGCAGACACTTGCGCCTCCTCGCTTTCTCAGGGACTGCAATCATCCCCGCCTTATATAATCCACTCAATAAGTATCTGTTTCGAAGGCAGTTTGACAAAACACCAATTTAAGAAGACAGTGAGGGGCGCCTGGGTGGCTCAGTCGGTTAAGCGTCCGACTTCAGCTCAGGTCATGATCTCGCGGTTCGTGGGTTCGAGCCCCGCGTCGGGCTCTGTGCTGACTGCCGGCTCGGAGCCTGGAGCCTGTTTCCGAGTCTGTGTCTCCCTCTCTCTCTGACCCTCCCCTGCTCACGCTGTCTCTCTCTCTCTCCTAGAAATAAGTTAAAAAAAAAAAAAAAAAAAAGACAGTGAGGTCTGCCATCATCTGGAAGAATGAAGTGGATTATCCAATACATGATATGAACAACTGCCACACTTCACTCCCCGCCCCCCTTCCTGTACAATCCCTTTCATTCATCTCGTGAACACTGAGGATTTTTGATGTGCCAGGCACTGGAGGGCGGAGCTCTGCCCTCCGGCTGAGGTAACACACAATCTAGAAAAACATCAGACTGGTAATTTTTAAAAGGGCTTCGCTACATCTTCCTTTTCTGACACGGCGTCTTTTACGTACACTTGGCTTCCCGCGGTTGCCAAATCAACCTGTAACCTCAGGAAGCCCACGGAAATGGTTAAAGCCCGTCGTCAAAATCCCGTCTCTGAAAAACGGGTTGGATCTTCCCAAGCGCTGCTTTACCGCCCGGGTCCTCCAGGCCTCACGAGCTGGAGGGCGAGAAAGCAGGGAAGATGAGCAAGATGCCCTAAAGGAACCCGAGAAGCTGAGGAAAAGGCGCTCGGAGGTCCAGCGCCGTCGTCCCGCGTCTCGGGAGGGGCTCGCCCGGCTCCGCAGTGCCGTCCCCACCCCGGCGCTCGCTGCCCACGCCCCGGGGCCTGCCCTCTCGTGATTGGCAGCTCGAGCGCCCTATCCCTGTCGCGCTGGCTCCAGGCGCCCCGCGGCTCTTTCCCTCCCACTCCACCTCCCAACCCCCGGGCCGTGAAAGGGGCGGAGCACTCGGCTCGCGCGGCCCGGGCTCCACCCTCCTGAGGGCCCCTCCGCCCCTGCCTACGCGACAGCCTGCCGGGATTGGCCGAGCACCGCCCACCCCCCGACCACCGGCGTTGTGTAACAGGCTCCCGCGCCTTCTCCCCACCCACTCTCCTCGGGTTATGTAACCCGGCGGCGGGGCCCCGCCCCCGGACCAATGGAGGCCCGCAGAGCCGGCCGCGGCGGCCAATCGCGAGGCCTGGGGGCGGGGCTCCGTCACGTGGAGCTCAGGGGGCGCGGCGCCGGCGGCTCTCCGGCACGCGGCGGGACTCCGGACTGTACGCCGCCCGGTTCGGCCCCGCGGGGCGAGTGACAGGGGTGGCCGCAGTCAGTGAGGGCTCTGCCGGCGCCGGGAGGTCTCCCCCGAGCCCGCCCTCTGCCGTGGGACCGGCGGCAAGGCGGTGCCGCCCTGGGAACCTGGGGGCCCGGAACTTGGCGCGTTAAGTTCCCCTGCCCGGGTCGGGTTTCCGCGGAGCCATTGGCGCCCAGGGGCCTCTCGCAGCAGGCCGCCCGCTTCCCTGGACACTAGTGCCCTGTGTCGCCCTCAGGCGACACCCCCAGGCTGCCCACCCCGCCCCCGAGAGGAGTCGTCCGAGAGACTGCATGGAGACCCCGCAGAGAAAACTTCCAACACATGGGCGGGGGACGATGGCCGCCGGCTCCCGGTGACTTGTAGCTTTCCCTGAGGCGACCGCGCGCCCGGTGAGCGCTGTGGGGCTGCCGCTGCTCGCAGAGTGACGGAGAGGCAGGCGACGGACTGGGCCGCCCCGCCAAGGATGGACCCCTGTGACCATCTGGAAGGGTCCAGCCCTCAGTCTCTGGACTCCAGGGGGACTCAGCCTCTGGAACTTGAGGGACCACAGACCCGCGACCCTGAGGCGCTGGGGAGGGGACACGAGAAGATGTGGAGCCAGAGTGCCAGCTGCAGAGCCCACGCGCGGAGGGTGGTCGCAGGTGACACACCGATTCGTGCGTTGTTCTCCCACCGCTGGTAGAGGGGAAGGAGGGCTGACACCCTTGATTCCTTGGTTTGTGAGCCTGGCAGGTTTAGGGGGTACCAGACAACTGAAGAATTCCCGAAGAGAACCGGAAGTGTCAAAGGAGTGGTTAAGGATTTAGCTGGAATGGGGGGCTCAAGTGGGAATGAGAAAGAACAGAAAATGTCTGATGATCACCCGTTTCCGAGTGGGGATCCCGCACGTGTGGAAATGCGGTGAACTAAATGAGCTGACCCGTGGTGAGCACTTAGCAAGTTGCCGGGCACATCACGTGCGGTGCAGTTAACTGTGGGCTGTTCTTGTCATCAAAAGCGTGAGTTGAGTTTTGGGTTTTTTGTTTTAATCTTCCAGTGAACAGCAAGATCGAAACAGAGCTTCAGAAGAACTTACCATGGTTGTCCAAGAAACGGAAAAATACTTCCCATCAGAGAGACCCGATAAGCTGAGCACTCTAGATGCCCTCAGCCGTGCCCTTCGCTGTGTTCACGGCCAACAACGCAAGACGAGCTGTAGGGAAAACTGGGTCGTGCAAGTACATCCGTTTGCTCGCGAACCTCACCCAAGAGGGAAGAGTGGTCAGTGTGGTTCTAGTCCCTGAAATGTTCTGAGCTTTTTACGTTGCTTGATGGGAGAGGGAGCAAATCTACACTAATTCTGGGTGGCTCAGTTGGTTAAGCGTCCGACTTTTGCTTAGGTCATGATCTCACGGTTCGTGGGTTTGAGCCCCGCGTCAGGCTCTGTGCTGACAGCTCAGAGCCTGGGGCCTGTTTCAGATTCTGTGTCTCCCTCTCTCTCTGACCCTCCCCTGCTCACGCTGTCTCTCTCTCTCTCTCTCAGAAATAAATAAAACATTAACAAATTTTTTTAAAAATTTTAAAAAATTTTTAATGTTTAGTTATTTTTGAGAGAGTGTGTGAGCAGGGGAGGGGCAGAGAGAGGGAGACACAAAATCCAAGGCAGGCTTCAGGCTCTGAGCTGTCAGCACAGACCCCAGCACGGGGCTGGAACTCACAAACTCTGAGATCATGACCTGAGCCAGAGTCGGACTGTGAACTGATTGAGCCACCCAGGCACCTCTAAAGATTCACTTATATTTTTTTTAATGTTTATTTTTGAGAGACAGAGCATGAGCGGGGGGAGGGGCAGAGAGAAAGAGGGAGACACAGAATCTGAAGCAGGCTCCAGGCTCTGAGCCGTCAGCACAGAGCCCTACGCGGGGCTCAAACCCATGAACTGTGAGATCATGACCTGAGCTGAAGTGGGACGCTTAACCAACTGAGCCACCCAGGCGCCCCTAATTTCACTTGTAGACCTCAGCGTGATGGGGACGTAAAGATTTTGTAATGTCTGCATGCGAGCTGTCCTAATCTCACAGCAGCGATTGTTTCACCACCGGATCTGCTTATGTTACTGTCACACGTGTGTCCGAGAAGTGAGACACCGAAAAGTTGAAGAAAACCTTTTCCCTCTATGATCTTCAAAGTAAAGCTAGAGAGGAAGGCATGCGGGTGCTGGACCCACAGACAAACCGTGGCTGACTATGAACATTCTAGATGTCTGATGGAACAGAACAAATCAGAGAAATCATTCTTCTGTCCTGAGGTTCATCAGAGACGGTGTCTCAAGGGAGGGGGCTCTTGAGCTTGGTCCTAAAGCCTAGAGCTCTGTGTTGGTGAAGAGATGACAGTCCCCCCAGTTTGCGAACGAGAAGGAATCAGAAGCCAATGTGCCACATGCATGTTTAGGAGACGTAGGAGATGCTGGTGTGTCGCCTGGTATAGAAGTCAGACCTTCAGAAAGTAAAATGCAGGTTTTACGGTGAATGGTTAAGACATGTGTTGGAGAATCCTGCGGTCTTCACAGGACGTATGTGTGTGTTTTAAGCTATTGATCACATTGAGGGGCACCTGGGGGGCTCAGTTGGTTGAGCATCCGACTTCGGCTCAGGTCACGAACTCACAGTTTGTGGGTTCAAGCCCCATATCGGGCTTTGTGCTGACAGCTAGCTCAGACCTTGGAGCCTGCTTCAGATTCTGTGTCTCCCTCTGTCTCTGACCCTCCCCTGCTCATGCTGTCTCTCTCTCTGTCTCAGAAATAAATAAAAACATTAAAAAAAATTTTAAGCTATTGATCACATTGGAAGTCTAGAAGAAACTTACCTTTGAGGGAATATTGCTGTAAGGATCTCAGTGCCGGCATTTGTCTACAATGTTTTTTATAGGCTACCTTTGTGGCAACGTTTTCATTTCTGTCAGGAAGGTTAGTGCACATTTCTGAACAGGCCGCTTCAATTCTGAACTGTAAGGATTCCTTGGATTCCTCACACTTCGTTAAGCTGCTCGCCCCTCAAGACGTGAGCGTGTGCTACGCACACACCGCCTGTGCTCAGCTTCCCTTCTGGAACAGCTGGACCCAAAGAAGTAATGGGACCAACACTCAGGTGTTTATCTTGCCTCATAAAGATCAGTTGCATTCTTTGAGAAATAGTACCCAAATTAACATATTGTTTTGAACCTGCCAACTCTATGGATTTTCTTATTTCTTTATTTAAAAAGTCAGAACGTGGTGGTGCTTGGCTGGTTCAATCAGAGGAACACAGGACTCTTGATCTCAGGGTCGTGAGTTTGAGGCCCATGTTAGGCATGGGGATTCCTAAAAATAAATAAAACTTTGAAAAAATTAAAAAGTAAATGAAAAGTCAGAATATGCCAAATAAAGTGCTTTAAATGCTTCCGATAACAAAAAGTTCCAGTTAACATGCTGTCATTTAGTCAAGTTAACTGCATAGGTCATAAGTCATAAATATGGTTTGATAGCCGGTGTACCGAATAGCAGGTTAATTGCTATGCAGACTCTGTTTTCTCTAAGTTAATAAAATCAAACGTCTCTCCTCTTAAGTGGACTTCATTATTTCTTTGCTTTGTTTGAAGATAAACTTCTCACGGTCCGCTCCGGTTCTAGTTTTGCTTCCCCCTAAAAGCTCACGAATCTCATGACTTTGTTTTTCTTCTGAAATGCTTATTCCCCCGACCCTGGGATCCCTGGCCACAGTTTTCTTTGTGACATTCAGTCCCATGTGCTTTTTTTTTTTAAGTACTTCATTATTTCTTTTTAAAGCCACCGTTTATTACTTATTTCATATCCTTTGTTAGCGTATTTCTGAGAGCTTGGGATGTAGACCAACTTTTTTCTCTTGATTCCAAGCCTTTTTCTCTTACTTTTTAAAATTTAAATTTGACTTATCACGGTAAAAAAAAATCGCAAAATTTACCACCTTAACCATATTTAAGTGAACGGTTTCGTAGTGTTAGGTACCTTGGCATGGTTGTGAAACACATCTCCAGAACGTTCTCATCGTGCAAGTCTAGGGCTCTGTGCCCACTCCCGACTTTTCAGCGCGTACACGGACCCGGGGAGAACAACCTTGCAGGGTCCGCTGTTCCGTGACCTTTGCCCCATCTTCTGCACACAGTCTGTGTGAGCTTCGAGACGCACACCCGTCTTCCTCCTTTCCGGCTTCCCCGTGTTCCTGTCACTCAAAAACGTGGATGTCATTTCGGTTCCTCTTTCGCGAACATGTATTTTTCAGCCTTTAATTGTCCATCTTTGTTTCTCTGCTTTTATTGGTCATTCACCCACTCCGTGACCATTTATTCAACAAGCACCGCGGGCCGGGAGGATGCAGGGCCCTGGCATTTGGCTGCGAACAGAGCAGGCGCAGGGCACCGTCCGCCAGCCCTCGAGCTTGCCCAGATGCCGCTCCCCTAACACAGCCTCCCCAGTCTCTGTCTGCTCTTTTCAACCGTGTTATCTTTGCATATTACTTGCTGCCGTGGTATTTCCCCTCTGTGTGAAAACATAAGTCATCTTTTGGACCTAAAAGTTGGCTTCCTCTGTAAAGAGATGCTGCCCATCTCAGTGACTGCCCACACTGTGCTTTGCCTCGCACACCCAAGCGATCCCAGCCCTTGTTGAGCCGTTTCTGGGCTGGGCCCGTGTTGCCTCCTTCTGTCCCCTCCTCTGATCTCCTAGAACATTAAGGGGACAGAGGAAGCTATCAGCTCGGCGTTTGGCCTGGCGTCTGAGCACATATCCACTTTGGTTTGTCACGCAGCCCTCACAGAAGGGTCTGACCACTATTTCTTCCGGGTGCGATTCCAAAAGCCAGAATCCGCTGTGATGGCCGAGGTGTGGAAATGATAACGGGCTCCCATCTAGTATCTGAGATCCGCGGTCGGGCCCTCCGTCCTACGTGACCCCTAGAGAGAACGCAGTTGACTTCAGCTGCCTGGCGTACTGTATACATAGCGCAGGCGAGTCTGCCCTCCGGTGGAGTTCCGGTGCTTCCCGTGTGCACAGAATTGTAAGCAAGGAATCAGAAGATCTGACCTTTAAGTCGAGTCTCATCCCTTCGTGAGCTATGAAAGCCATTTAGCTGCTCGCTGTGAAATGCTGCTATTTCCTGGCGGCCTGCTAACACGGGGCTGCTGGGAGAAGCGAGCTCGCCGGTGGCGGGGAAGGCACTTCAGGCATTTGAACGTCCTGCAGCATTAGGGGGTCATCCTCATAGCTACCCGTCTATTAAAAGGGACTTTTTCTTCGTGTTTCAGTGGGTTCGCTAATCTTCACAAAAACCTTATGAGGTGTAGACTCTGTCGTTGTCCCCACTCGACAGGCAAGCTAACTTAGTGTGGCTCAGCTGAGAAGCAAATGTCAGGATGGGGTTAGTGGTGGAAGAGACTCGCTGGGAGAGGGCGGGGGAGGAGGGGGGCGGCACCCCCAGCCCACAGTGCACGTCTGAGCCCCGTGGCAAGTGCAGGAACAAGGACTGGGGGAAGGAGGCGCGGCCAGGCAGTCAGGGGCAAGTCCAAGGCGCAGTCACGCGCGGGAGGAGTCGTGCGTCTCCATGGACTGCTCCTGCCTCAGTGCCCGCTCTGTGCACAGGCGCTGGCTGGGAGCGGACACTTTATTCCAGGAAAGAAAAAAAGTCAAAGACACGTATGTGACATATACCTAAATGCTGTAAGTTGTCTAAATCGGCAGTCTATGGGGTGTGTCCAGACCATTAGAGTGAAATAGAATATTGCCACCAAAGTAAGCGTGTCACTGGATTATTGCAGTGACATCGGAGAGATGAGTTCGGGCAGTTTTAGTGATAGGGAAAGGACCACAGGAAGCAATAGGGACAGAAGTCAGTCCGATGCCTTCACTGTCTCTCTCAGAGTCCCTGCTAGAATCGGAAAGCCGCTGGAAAATATTGGATGTGACTGGATCTCAAAGTGAGGGCAGGAGGCCTATTCTAATCAAGAGTATCTCCTCTTTTTTTTTAAATGTTTATTTATTTTTGAGAGAGTGGGAAGGAGCATGCATGAGCATGGGAGGGGCGGGCAGGTGGGACAGAGGATCCTAAGTGGGCTGTTCACTGACAGCAGTGAGCTGGATGCAGGGCTCGAACTCAGAAACTGTGAGATCATGACCTGAGCTGAAGTCAGACACTCAACCGACTGAGCCACCAGGCACCCTGAGAGTATCTCCTTTGAAAGAATAGTTTACTGTTTGGGGATAGTTCAAGTTTGTCTCGGTGAGGAGGGGTTGCCCTGCCCTGCTGCTCTGGGAGGGGGTGAGTAACACTTTGTTTCCTGCAGCATCTCGGTACGAATTCACTCCGTTGAAACCCTTTTTCTGCAGGATCTGGTAAGTCTTGGGGCCTGTGGGGGCTGGGAATGGTGGGTTATGCTCTGAGTTTATTTGGCACTTTTTAGATTCTTTCGGATTCAGCAAGGACTCCGATCTTGCCATAAGAAGTTTGCATTTTATTTATTTTTTTAGAGTGAGAGAGAGAGCAGGCGCGGGAGAGGGAGAGAGAGAATCCTAACTAAGCAGGCTCCACACCCAGCACAGAGCCCAACGTGGGGCTTGATCTCACAACCCTGAGATCACGACCGAAGCCAAAATCAAGAGTCGGATGCTTAACCAGCTGAGCCACCCAGGTGCCCCAAGAGGTTTGTATTTTGATTGAGAAGAGACATACGTTCACAAAATGCGTACGTAATAATGCAATCAGGAAGAAGAGCAGAGATCCTTCTTAGCCGGCAGGGCAAGGAGAGGCATTCTCTCTCTCTCTAAGAACCACTGGATGATATTAACTTAACTTTCAAATGACCCTTGTTTTGAGTTCTTTTGTTTTTTGTTTGCTTTTGGTTTTTGGTCACATTTAAATTTAATTTTTGAAGACCCCGAATAGTGAAAGTAATACTGAAAAATAAAACCAAAACGGGAGGGATCACCATCCCAGACTTCAGCCTCTACTACAAAGCTGTCATCCTCAAGACAGTATGGTATTGGCACAAAAACAGACCCATAGACCAATGGAACAGAATTGAGAACTCAGAAGTGGACCCAAAAGTATACAGCCAACTGATCTTTGACAAAGCAGGAAAGAATATCCAATGGAAAAAAGACAGCCTTTTTAACAGATGGTGTTGGGAGAACTGGACAGCAACATGCAGAAGAATGAAACTAGATCATTTTCTCACACCATGCACAAAAATCAACTCAAAATGGATAAAGGACCTGAACGTGAGACAGGAAACTATCAACACCCTAGAGGAGAAAGCAGGAAACAACCTCCTTGACCTCCACCGCAGCAACTTCTTACTTGACACATCCCCAAAAGCAAGGGAATCGAGAGCAAAAATAAACTGTTGGGACCTCATCAAGATTAAAAGCTTCTGCACAGCCAAGGAAACAACCCAGAAAATTAATAGGCAACCAACGGAATGGGAAAAGATAGTTGCAAATGACATATCAGATAAAGGGTTAATATCCAGAATCTATAAGGAACTCACCAAACTCCACGCCCGAAAAACAAACAACCCAGTGAAGAAATGGGCAGAAGACATGAACAGACACTTCTCCAAAGAGGACATCCAGATGGCCAACAGACACATGAAACGATGCTCAGCATCCCTCCTCATCAGGGAAATACAAATCAAAACCACACTGAGATACCACCTCACGCCAGTCAGAGTGGCTAAAATGAGCAAATCAGAGAACTCTAGATGCTGGCGAGGATGTGGAGAAACGGGCACCCTCCTGCACTGTTGGTGGGAATGTAAACTGGTACAGCCCCTCTGGAAAACAGTGTGGAGGTTCCTCAGGAAACTAACAATAGAACTCCCTTATGACCCAGCAATAGCACTGCTAGGAATTTACCCAAGGGATACAGAAATGCTGAGGCATAGGAGCACATGTACCCCAATGTTCATAGCAGCACTCTCCACAATAGCTAAAACATGGAAAGAGCCTAAGTGTCCATCAACAGATGAATGGATCAAGAAGATGTGGTTTATCTATACCATGGAATACTACATGGCAATGAGAAACAATGAAATCTGGCCATGTGTAGCAACATGGATGGACCTTGAGGGTGTTATGCTGAGCGAAATAAGTCAGGCAGAGAAGGACAAATACCATATGTTTGCACGTATAGGAGGATTAGGAGGAACTTGACGGAGGACCAAGGGGGAGAAGAAGGGCGGAAATGGTGGGGGAAAGGGAGAGAGGCAAACCATGAGAGACTCTTGAATGCTGACAAAAACTGAGGACTGATGGATGTGGGGGGGAGGGGGGGATGGGCATGAAGGAGGGCACTTTGGGGATGAGCACTGAGTGTTATGTAGAAACTAATTTGACAATAAACTATTTGTAAAAAAAATAAAAATAAAAAAAAAATAAAATTAGTACATTAGGAAAAAAAAAAAAAAGAATTATCTTGGGAAGGACATCTGGGATGTTTCCAGTTGGGCTATGACGAATAAATCTGCTATGAACATTTAAAAAAAAAAAATAAAAAAAATAAATTTAATTTTTGAAATGTCACTAAATTATAAAAAATTTTTTAAGAAAGCTCTGCGCCTAACGTGGAGCTTGAACTCACAACCCTGAGGTCAGGAGTCACATGCTCTACCAACTGAGCCAGTCACACAGCCCGAATTTTTGAGATTTTCAGTAACTTTAAAGGAAATTAGACAAGATCTATTTAAGAGAAGGATTTAAAAGCTCCAGACATAGCGAACCAGAAGAAAACAGACCAACATTTTAATAATAGTTGATTTCTGGTAGAACTTAATATTTTTTTCTCTTCAGAATTTGCTATGACTTATTCATGTTACTTTCACAATAAAAAGAAAATGTGTTTCAGTGATATTACAATTCCCAGTATTCGCATTGAAGTTCCTAAATGCTCCAGAGGTGTGGAAAACTAAAGAGAAGACGCCTTGTTATGGATTAGTCCCCCCGCTCTGTGGGGTTGGGGAGACTTGAGCTAATAGTATTCCAGGGCTTGGGGAGCGATACCCTGGGGACAGGTGCGTGGGACGGAGGGCTGTGTTGGCTCATTTAGTCCTTCACAGATGAGTTCTTATGAAGAGCTTAGAATAGTGCTTACCACGTAGTAAGTGCTGTTTGTTTTGTCAGTAAATGTATCTGTGTGCCTTCTCTGAGCCCGGCAAGGCTACAGGTACAAAGATCGTGCCCTCATGAACCTTACATTCTGTGTGTGGGGGAACCAGTGATAAATAGGTACCTATGTACGTGTCCACTGGCGGTAAGTTCTGTGCAAGAGAGTAAGGGATTTCTGGGCAGCGCAGAGATTACTAGTATACTCAGGGCGGTCAAGGATCCTTCTCTAATAAGAAGCTTGATTGGAGCCAGAGCCTGAAGGAGGTAAGAGAGTGAGCCATACCTCTCGGAGAGAAGAGTGTTCCAGACAGGTGCAAAGGCCCTGGGGACAGAGCATGCCTGGCCCGTGGGCGGAGTGACAGGGGAGGGGGAGGGTGGATGGACATGAAGACCCAGGGACCAGACCATAGGGAGCTTGTTCCTGAAGGAAACATTTTGTTCAGGTGTGTCATTGATTTGAAAACTTTAGTTTTGGAATTTGCAAAATAAAGGGAAATAGAGGAGAAAGTACAGTGAACTGGTATGTACCTATCATTCTGCCTCAATAACTTTAGCCCGAGGCCCATCTTCTGTCCTCTCTGCCACCACCGGCTCCTCAGCCCGCCCTCCCCACGATTCTGAAGCAGATCTCGGATCGTGAATCGTTTCCTCCATCGGCATCTCAGGACAGGATCTAAACGATAAGGTTCCCGTTCCATCTGTGATGCCCAAAGCGTCCCACCTGTGGCCGGCAGAAGCCCCTTCAGGTGAGCTCCGGGGCCGTGTGAGGGTGCCCTGGCGGTTGGGCACAGCCTCCTTTGCTTCAGGGATGATGTCACAGGCTCATTCTAGACACTTCCTACCTCGGACGTGGAGTCAGTCGTTTCTCCAAGGATTCCTCTCTCCCCTGTGCTGGGAAGTGGCATCACCATCCGGATAAGACCAACTCCGCATGGTGGGGGGCGAGCTGGTTGCTAGGCTCATCCTGGCTTCTAGGGTTCTCAGTTTCATCTTTCGGAAGGATGGTAATTGACCTTATGGAAGGAGCGCATTGGGCGCTGTGGATGGTGCAGGCGCGAGAGGCAGCAGGTGCACGGACGGGGAGGAGATGTGGAGACGTCCCGGATGTCCTGGATAGTTCCATATGGGAGAGGTGCTGGAGTCTATCAGAGGTTGGGGTGTGAAATTGAGGCTCAGTCGAGGTAGCGCAAGTCTTGGGCTGCGGTCGCCGTGTGCTGGGGTGAAGGGGACAGGAAAGCAGCTTTCTGGAGGGAGGAGGGCAAGAAGACAAGTTAGGTTTGCCTCCCCTGTCGGGAATCTCCATCGTGGTGTTGAGTAGGCGTTGGTCCGCAAGTCTGGAGTTGAGGGAGGAGTCCGGGCTAGAGACAGGGACCCAGGTCACCCGCACACACAGGGCATCGCAAACCCTGCGGCGGGGTGAGCCTGGGAGATGTGCCCTCAGAAATCGGAGGGAACGGGAGACCCAGGCACAGCTCGTGGCTCAAGGTCAAGGAAGGCCACCCTCTTCTCAGTGGCGGAAGCGGGGTCACGGCGGAAGTGCCGGAGTCTGCAGAGAGGCAAGCTGGTGAAGTGGGGGTAGGAGCACACGTGCACGTGGACATGGACGTGGAGCTTCTAGGCCACTAACAACTATTTGACGCCTATGTAAACAATGGTGGGAGAGGGGAGATGTGACTGGTAGAAACAGGGGAGTATGAATCCAGTTGTGGGCACGTTGACACTAAGGGGACAATTATATCCAAGGAGAAATGTCCTCTGGGCAGCTGGAGCTGTGAAACAGGGTGAAAGTCTTGGAGTCAAGCCATCCCTTCCCAGGGAGGTGCCCCGCACTGGGGCTTGGCCACCAGGTTCCAGCCCTACTTTCTGGCTCAGGCAGGCACGTAAGGAGTGTTCAGTCACACACAGGGCCCCGCGCCCATCCAGGGGGTGGTTGAGGCAGTAAGACTGAGTCCGTCCGCTGGGAGAGCGTAGGAAGGGACGGTGGAGAACTGGCTTTGGGGGCGTGATCACAAGGAGCCCCGTTTTCTGTCATGTGGTTCTTGGTTCAGACACATGAGGTAAGACAGTTTACACCTGCCCCTCTTCAGAGAAGCGGAAAGTCACACTGGGAAGCTAGGGTTTGGCGGTCAGAAAAAGTCATAGGATGGCTAGTTCCATTTTTAATTCACTAAGCTGGCTCTCCATAAAGCCTCTTTTTTTTTAAAAATTAAGTTTATTTTATTTTGAGAGAGAAAAAGAGAGCTGGGGAGGGGCAGAGAGAGAGAGAATCCCAAGCAGGGGCCACACTGTCAGCATAGAACCTGATGTGGGGCTCGGACTCACAAACCACGAGATCATAACCTGAGCTAAAACCAAAACGTCAAATGCGTAACCGGCTGAGCCACCAGCCGCCCTTCCATAAGACCTCTTTTTTTCAGAATAATGAAGAAGTATAATTGCCCTTGAGTATTAAAAATATAAGCCAACATTTGTCTTCTCTTTAAAATAAATACATTTAAACACTTTAGACTTGGATCTGTCTCTCTCGGAAATTACCAAATAGACCCTTCTCCTGGCCTGGTTTCACATTGGGCGAATTGGATGCATCAGGACAGGAACTCGTCAGTTTTTATTCTTTTCTGCAGAGGTGAAGACAGAGAGCCCCTCCCCTGGAGGAAGGTGAGTCCAGAGCATCTGCTTTTAGATCAGACGTCACCTCGTCACCATATCGGGTAGGAACCCGTGAAAGCCTGTTTACTGAGCCATAGAACCAGGAAAGAGCTCTCAAGACTTCAGGTTGGCCCCGAACTCTGTGGGCGATTATAGCAGATCTTCCCTAATGTCTATTTACTACCCTTCATTAAAAATTACTGTCCTGTGCAAAAAAAAACAAAAAAAAAAAAAACAAAAAAAAAACAACGCAAAACACACACACACACACAAAACCACAGGGCTTATGGGAACAATGGGCTCTAGGAGCACAACACTCAAAAAAACTTAACCGCACATTAAAAATAAGACAGGAACCTAATAAAAGCAGTAACAGTTTTACATGTTGAATGGTTAAGAAGCACAGTCACTGCAGTGAATGAGGCACCTCACCTTGGAAAAGCCCCACGGTGGCTTGTGATTGTGGGTGTCGGCTCGGCCACCGCTCCTGAGTTACCATGAGGGTGGAAGGAAGCTTGTCTGAAGTCAGACGTGGACGGGCGTGGCTCGTAACATGCAGTGCACAGCAGTGGCCGTAGTTATTTGAGGTGTGTGTGTGTTTGTGTGTTTGTGGGTGACCGCTTTCACCTCTTGTTTCTTGCACATGAAATTGTGTAGGATTTCAAGTCACTCCATGTTCAAAGTGAACTTCAGCAGAACTGGCCATCCCAATTTCATCACACAGATTTGAAATCTCCAAATCACTCTGATGGCAAATCCAGCGTGCTCAGTCATACGCCACCAGCAAATACAACCACATCTTCTAGTCCTGACCTTTAATTTCCTCTTGCTTTGACTGTTCAATTATTTGCGATGAGTAAGCTTTTCTTGTACATGAATTATTTAAAACTAACTTTAGCAAGGTGCCTGGGTGGCTCAATCGGTTGAGTGTCTCACTTCGGCTCAGGTCCTAATCTCATGGTTCATGAGTTGGAGCCCCACATCGGGCTCTGTGCAGACAGCTTAGAGCCTGGAGCCTGCTTCGGATTCTACAACTCTCTGTCTCTGTCTCTGCCCCTCCCCCACTTGTGCTCTGTCTCTCTGTCTCTCACAAATGAATAAACATTCAAAAAATAATAAAAAATTAAAAAAATAAAGAAAATGGAATACTACTTGGCAATGAGAAAGAATGAAATCTGGCCATGTGTAGGAACATAGATGGAACTTGAGGGTGTTATACTGAGTGAAATAAGTCAGGCAGAGAAGGACAGATACCACATGTTTGCACGTATAGGAGGATTAGGAGGAACTTAACGGAGGACCATGGGGGAGAAGAAAGGGGGGAAATAGTGGGAAGAGGGAGGGAGGCAAACCATGAGAGACTCTTGAATGCCGAGAACAAACTGAGGGCTGATGGGGGTGGGGGGAGAGGGAAAGGGGGGTGATGCGCATGGAGGAGGGCACTTGTGGGGATGAGCACTGGGTGTTATATGGAAACCAACTTGACAATAAACTATTTTTTAAAAAAATCAAAATAAAAAAAATTAACTTCAGGAGCACCTGGGTGGCTTAGTCAGTTAAGCTTCTGATTCTTGATCTCAGCTCAGGTTTTGATCTCAGGGTTGTGAGTTCAAGCCCCACATTGGGCTCTGCACTGGGTAGGAAGCCTTCTGAAAGAAATAAAATTAAATTAACTTTAGTAGGCATTGCATTTTGACCTAATTAAATCGAGTTAATGAAAATTATTATAATTTAACCACAGCTTTGGCTACTTCAAAGCCAGGCCCCCTAAGTGACATTTCTACCATTTCATGTAGAGGTATTGTTGCCTTTTTAATGTAAGTGGTTAGTTAAGTAAATGACTAATTAGTATTTGCCTGTAGGTGAGTCTTTCTGTTTTTCATAGCTCCTCGAATCCTGGTGGATAAAGAATTTCTACCACAACACACATCCCAGGGTGTGTGTTTCTTGAAATAGACGAAAGGTAAGTACTTCTTCAAGCTGGAAAGAAATTTGTTCCCGAAATTAGAGAAAAATGTGAGAATGTTTATATTATGTTTACATACTCCTACATTCCCTAACAGACATCTATCCATTTGTCCATCTGAGTTCTGTTAGTATGAAGTTTATTTTATTTTTTTTAACTTTTTAAAAAATGTTTTATTTATTTCTGAGAGAGAGAGAGACAGCGTGAACAGGGGAGGGTCAGAGAGAGGGAGACACAGAATCCGAAACAGGCTCCAGGCTGTAAGCTAGCTGTCAGCACCGAGCCCGACGCAGGGCTCGAACCCATGAACCATGAGATCATGACCCGAGCCGAAGTCAGATGCTTAACCAACTGAGCCACCCAGGCGCCCCCTAAAATTTATTTTTAATATAAGTAGTTTGCATATAATACTTCTCAGGCTTATATTTGATCTCACAATAGTCTGCTTTAGGTAAGTCAAGAATTATTGTTCCATTTTACGCAAGAGGACCATGAGCCTGGCCACATAGTATGTGATGTGTTCGAAATGGGGCCAAAACTCTGGCCTAGTTCCCATGCCAGAGTGATTTCCACCAGACATGGGGTTTCCCCAACCAGCCTTTGATGAAATGTTTATTAGTCTGAAGTGAGGGGGAAAGAAAGGAAAAATAACAGATTTTTTTTTTTGGTAAAGATAAGTTTATTTAATTTAAAGCGTTATTACTTATTTTGAACTTAAGTCCTTTCTACTTTTTTGGTATTCAGAGTCTTAAAGAAGAGTGATAGTAGATAGTAGTTGCTGCTTATTGTTGTTTTGTTAATAATTTGATTTGGAAAAATAAACAGTGTTATCCCCTGATGAGGACCCTCTATTTTCCCCACATTTATTTGTGAATTTTACTTATTCATGAAATGTGAAAACCCGGGGATTAGTGCATCCCGGTACATGGATGTGTAAAGCACGAGAGTCAGAAAAGTTGGCACAGTTATGATAGTTACTCATTTTGATTTTTAAAAAATCTCAGCTTCTGAAAGCAGGCTTATTTAATAGTAGATAACTTGAAACTGAGTAGCAACAGTGAAATACTCTGTGTGATGTCATCTGTAGAAAGTAAGAACATTTAGCTGGCGATATTTAATGGCTTACACTTATTGCAGGAGGAAGTACTGGTGCATGTGTACACATGGAAAACGTTTACGGAGCCAGCGTTTCCTAAGTCATCCTGAAGACTGCATTCACAGCTTTCCCGTGAACCCGCATCCTACATGTGTTTCTGCGTGCTGGTTGTCTGTCTGTCTGTTACTACCTTCTAGGCGACATTGCTTATGTACAGCCTTAACCATGCTGTGTCAATTTGTAGCCCGCTCTATTCATTTGACCTCACACTATGGTGTGATCTTTGTAAACTTTTCATTTTGTTTATTTTTATTTTTTTTTAAATGTATATTTATTCCTGAGAGAGAGAGCACCAGCAGGGGAGGAGCAGAGAGAGAGGGAGACAGAATCTGAAGCAGGCTTCAGGCTCCAAGCTGTCAGCACAGAGCTGGATGTGGGGCTTGAGCCCACGAGCCATGTGAGATCATGACCTGAGCCAAAGTCGGGCACTTAACTGACTGAGCCACAAGGGCACCCCTTTGAAAACGTTTTAATTTTTTTACTGTTTTATTTATTTCTGAGAGAGAGAGAGAGAGAGAGAGAAACTCAGCGTGAGCAGGGGAGTGTCAGAGAGAGAGGGAGACACAGAATCAGAAGCAGGCTCCAGGCTCTGAGCCAGCTGTCAGCACAGAGCCCGACACGGGGCTCAAACCCACAAACCGTGAGATCATGACCTGAGCCGAAGTCAGACGCTTAACCAACTGAGCCTCCCAGGTGCCCCTGTAAACATTTTAAGTGGGAGGCATCCGAGACCCCTGAGGAACTTGCTAAAAATGCGGATTCCTGGTCTTCCCCCAGAAGCCCTGACTTAGCCTGTGAATTGCCTTTTAGCAAGGTCCATAGGTGACTTTGGTGCTCCCTGTCTAGTGACCAGCATTTCTTAGATTGTGTAACCATTTCCCCAGTGTGGGCACTCAGGCTGTTTGCTCCTTTTATAAACGCCGTAATGACATCTTTCGCATACTTTTTTTTTTGCATTTAGAATTAAGTAAAATATTTTTTGCATAAAGTATGAACATTGCTCGCTGCGTGTAACGTGCTGCCCGTGCTGTGCGTGTCCCCTAGAGCAGTGCCTCTGCTGGGTTACCTACCTCGGGACCTGCTGGGGACATCCATCTTAGCGTACGTGCACCCCGAAGACCGTTCTCACGTGCTTGCTGTCCACCGAAAAGGTGAGGACCTGCTTCTTTACAGGAGCAACTGCTCGCCTGCTCCAGCTTTTCATTTCATTTCTTGTTAGAGCTCCTCTTAAGCTCACCCTTCAGCAGGTAAGCAGTGTGTTCAAGCTGCTAAACCAGTTTTTTCTCTATTTGGACATTCTGGAAAACGTGACAAATAAGTGCCTAGAAACAGCCATTTGCAATAAATACCTGCGTTAAGTAGATTCTAATCTCGTCGTATTATCTTATTTAGTCTTGAAGTATGCAGGCCACCCTCCCTTTGAACGCTCACCCATTCGATTTTGTACCCAAAATGGAGATTACGTCATATTGGACTCCAGCTGGCCCGGCTACGTGAACCCATGGAACTGGAGGGTTTCTTTCATTGTTGGTCGGCATAAAGTTCGAACGTAAATCTGTCCGTGTTGGTGTGTTATAGAAGGCCTTTTTTTTTTTTTAACCTGATAATATTCTTCCACCCAGTGAGTCCCTTTGAATCACTTGACACATAAACTCAATCAAGCACATAGTTGTTTTGAGGTGCTTTTGGAAGACAGCGTAGCAGTATGGGTCAGCAGGCTTGAAAGATTTCTCCTTCTTTGACCCTTATGGGAGCAGTCTAAGGGAATATGTCTAAATACAGAAAAGCTTTATAAAGACAAGACATATTTTGCACCATTGTTCAATCATAATGGCGGACTTAGAGCAGCTTTTACGTCCATCATTAAGAAAGTTTTGGAGGGGCGCCTGGGTGGCTCAGTCAGTTAAGCGTCTGACTGCAGCTTAGGTCATGATCTCATGGTTCGTGGGTTCGAGCCCCGCGTCGGGCTCTGTGCTGACAGCTCAGAGCCTGGAGCTTGTCTTTGGATTCTGTGTCTCCCTCTCTCTCTGACCTTCCCCTGCTCATGCTGTCTCTCTCTCTCTCTCAGAAATAAACAAAACATTAAAAAAATATTTAAAAAAAAAAGAAAGTTTTGGAATATTTGACATGTTGTATTATTGATCAATACAAGTTTTTGCCAAGATTATATAGCATGAGAAACTACATATATTAGACTTAAAAAACAGCATACAAAATTGTTTACACCATATGGTCATACTATGTTCAAAAGACACACAAACATTGTGAAACAGGAAAAAAGAAGAAAGGAAATACATTAAAATACACATTTTGGCTATGTGTAAGGTAATGGGGAGATAAAAGGGTTTTTTCTTTTCTGAATTTTAAAGTTCCCTTTAGTGAGAGTGTAAAATTTTTATATCCGCTTCTGCGGTCAAATTCCACTTACTTGTGCCCCTTTGATGAAATCTTAATTTTTTTTAAGTTTATTTATTATGAGAGAGAGTGTCTGGGAGGGGCGGGGGGGCGGGGCAAGCAGGCTCCACACTCTCAGCACAGAGCCCAGTGTGGGACTTGAACTCATGAACCGCGAGATCATGACTTGAGCTGAAATCAAGAGTCAGACCCCCTAACCCACTGTGTCACCCAAGTGCCCCTCAAATCTTTATTTTTTGTTAAATTAGGTCCTTTTTACTTTTTATTTTCCTGCCAGCAGGGCTGACTCAAGCCTCTTTGATTGCTGCCTCCCATCCGTGTGACAGAACCCTGTGAAATGGACCTAAAACAACCTGGGCCACCCCTCATATCCCCTAAAATACTCCAAGCCCCTTGCTTTTTGGTTTAAAATTTAAAGCTGACCTGCAAGCCCCTCAGTGGGGCCATAGGGTCCCCTGTGATGTTTTGTTGTTTTGTTTTAGCATGGAAATTATACTTCACTCTCCAGGATCCTGCTGAGATTGAGAAATTCTGTCTTTTGTGTTTGGCTGTACAGCTTTGTGCACATGAGCATAAAACTGGGAGAAGTAGGTCTACCAGAAGTCTTACTTTCTCATGTCTTCATACCGTAATAGAGGGCACCTAGCTGTGGCGGGAAGAAGTCCCAAGGTCCTCCTGCGTCGTTGTGCTCCAGGGTTTGGCCCTCAGCAGAGCAGGTCTGGAACCCTAAGCAGAGAAGTGGGCTCCATGCCTCCCTAACTCATGAGACCCGATTTGTGATAAACGAGTGTAACAGTTAGGAGAAGAAAAATGACTGCCCGGTAAGTGTTATTTTTGTTCGTCAGAAAGGACTTTTTTTCCCAGTAGGAAAATCTATGGGGAAATTAAAACAAGCAGGTGATTGCTTAGTATGATTGCGGGAATCCCCAGAGCAAGTATGATGGCTTTCATGAGACGTCTGTCTGTCTGTTGGTCTGCGTACCCTCCCCGTCAGTGCCGGAGCGATGTAGATGCCCCAAGTGTCCTTTCAGTTTTTCGATTACCTGTGTACGAAATTAACTGATACCCAAGTACTCACCATGTTTGCAGATTAAAAAAAAAAAATTACACCCGTGTTTGCATCCCAGTTTCCAGAGTTATGTAAAGGAAGTAGTCAGAGTCTAGTAAGTATTAATCTTGTAATATAATTATAAAATAATTGTCCATCATGTTTATAAAACCATTGTAACGGGTACTTAGGGATCCCCGGCTGTGTCAGGCATCATGCTAGACCCTGAGAATGAGATGGTAAACCAGACAGATGACCCCTCTACCATCACGGGGCCCCTAGCGTAGCAGGAGAGCTAGGACATGGAGGTGGCACGGTCACCTGTGAACAGCTATGGAGAGTGTGACGGTTGAAGCAGGAAGTGGACAATTAGCAGGGATCCTAACTGTCTGTGGCCAGGCGGGTTATGTGCTGTTTCCTCTCCTTCTACAGATAAAATCCGTGTTCGGCGCAAGAGTAACTCTAGCAGGGGTCACTGAGGGAGGAAGTTGCAAAGTGCAGACGAGAACCAGGCTTTCTTCCTGACCCCTCATGCGCCTTCCTTCAGTCCCCAGCGGCCTAGCACTGCCCGGCATTTGCCACTGCCCCACAAAGGCCGCGTCTCCACAGCCTCTGCGTTAATCGTCTTGAGTTATGTGATTAGTGATCAAAAGTACAGCTTCTCTTTGTAGAAAGTTTCACAAACAGGAATACGTAAATCTCATAATACAAAGCAGTCTGCCCTATTTCCATTTCAGAATTTCACTTGAAAAACAAAACCCAACATTTCTGGAAGGTACTCAAGTACACGGTGCACGGATGTATTTATCACCAATCAGATGTAGCTTGTTCAGCCAGACTGCTCCTTTGCTGGTGTATCCCTGCTTGTATGTACCAGGCAGTGCTGGAGGCACTGGAGAGGTGAACAAAACCAACCAGAGAGCCTCACCCCACAGTGCTCACGTGGCATCGGGAGGCACAGGCAACAGACAGACCAATGGACTGCTGTGTACAGTGTGCTAGGCTGTGCATTCCAGTATGGTTTGCCATTTACGTACCACATACACGATGCTGTGCCGCAAGGCATTGATTTGCACCATCCACGGTCTGTGTGCCAGGGGAGATGACGTTGCCCTGGGGGTCTGGACAAAGAGGGAGATGGTCTCCGGAGGCAGAGCTCTTCCTGACTGAAGCTACTAACATTCTGTGTGAATAATTAGTTCTGTCTTTGGGACAGTATCTCAGTTTTTAGGAAGTTGGGCTGTGTGTTTAAGTTGTGAGAAACAGTGGCATGGCAGAGTGGAAAAAGGAAGGCACTGACTTTGGAGCCAGGCGTGCCGAATCACACCCTGACAACTGCTTCTGGGGCAAGTGACTTGGCAAGTGTCCAGACTTCTCTGGAGTCACAATGATTCCTGCTTCATAGGGTTGTGAAGACTCAGGAGATGACACATCTGACTCAGTGGATCGCATCAGTAGTACCTTAGTTACTCAGGTACCAAGAGGCAGTATACCGCCGTAGCCAAAGTGCACCCTGGAGCCTAGGCTGTGGTCCCTTCATGAACACCTGCTTAGACTTCACCAGCTAGGTGACCTCGAGCAAGTTTTCAACTCCGGTGAAGGACGTAATACTTGCTAGAGCACCTGGAATGGTGCCTGGCACATCATAAGTGTTTTGAAAATGTTATTCTTGCTGTGTGTTATAAAAGTGGTATTGTTCCTGCATACAAGTCAGTTCCTTCCCTTCTTCATGATGCTTTCTGCTGGCATTTCTGCCCCTGCTGTGTAGGTGGTAGTTTAAAAATGCTCCAGTGTAAACAAGACTGAAGGTATTGTGACAGCCACATTTTCACCAATAGGTGGGTTCCAGAACCATCTTTACTATATAACTGAAGTGGTTGGGTACGTTAAACATTAAATGTTGTCTGGCAGACCTAAGGTCTTAAAATTCGTACTGTAGGTTATTCAGCTAATATTGAGTTTTGAAACCAGTAGTTGGTGAAGATACTTTGGCAGGTAGAGAGGTTACTCGTCAGATTTTAGGTTTCTACAAATTCAGTGCTGACATAGTTGTGGAAAGATTGGAGCTCTAGACAAGCCAGAGAAGCCTCTTAATGTCTCCTTTGTTTCTCAGTATTTTCTCTGCCTCCATGAATGGGATTTTTAGCTTTATATTTTCTATTTGAGGTTAAAGAGTTGTTTTGTGTAAGCATAGATTTGTTATTTGAACATTCTGTTTAAAAAATCACTTTAGACTTGGGGCGCCTGGGTGGCTCAGTCGGTTGAGTGTCCAACTTTGGCTCAGGTCATGATCTCTCAGTCCGTGGGTTCAAGCCCCATGTCAGGCTCTGTGCTGACAGCTCGCAGCCTGGAGCCTGCTTTGAATTCTGTCTCTGTCTCTCTCTGCCCCTTCCCCACTTGTGCTCTATCTCAAAACATAAAAAAATTTTTTTTAATTCTAAAAATTTTTAAAAAGTCACCTTAGACTTTATTGTAAATTCATTTTTAATTGCTTGACTCCATCTTTCACTTGACGCTTTGTAGGGGTCTGCTGAATGAGGATGTTTTACCAGAATAAAAAATACGAGCCGTAATGACAAAGACATAACAGAATTACAAGAACAAATTCACAAACTTCTCTTACAGGTAAAGTGAGATTTTAAAAAGCAAACACAAAATTTTCACAGTCGTGTTTTAACATTTGATCTTCGTGAAGTCACTTCACAAAGAGACACTGCAACGAGAGAGAAATCTTTACCCTCTGCGTTCCGAGAGTGTTTGTCTTCCTGGTTTTGTTTTTTAAATTCAGTTTTATTAATCTTGTTCCTGACTTAAACGCACAGAACATTCTCGTAAGATCCCATTTTAAGAGAGCAAATCGGGTCACAGCAGGCAGGTAAACCAGGAAGCTATTTCTAAAATGAGAACATCCTTCTTGTATTTCGAACACTAGCCAGGTGCTCAACTTCTGGGATTTGGCTTCAGCATTAAAAAAAAATAATAATTCCAGTTGTAAAGGTGGGGGCAGAGGGAGGGCAGGTCTCAGCAGAGTGTTACAAAGCCAACGTGGGAAACCTACTTCTTGAAAGCAGATGCCAAAAATGATTTCTACTGGAGATTCAACTAATCCACTGGTGAAGCGTTTGCTGATGGCGTCACAGAAAACTGTGAGCCCGTAATTTCCAAACTGTCTTTTATAAAATCTCCAGGGTTCTGAAGGAAGGTCGTGGAAAAAAGCATGGCGTGGATTTAACTTGTTCTGTTCCAAACTCAGCACAAAGAACTACTAGTGTTCATTCTCCTATTTTGTTACATCTCTTCTTCCACGTGGGTTTCTAAAGACTTGTTCTAGAAGTGCCCACCTCGGCGAGAAAACTAGACTTTGCTCTTGAGAAGTACCGAACCGAGAGGACGGTCTTTTCTGTCAGCCTCAGGGCCGGAGCACGGAGCTTCACGCAGCGCACTTAGGACTTCAGAAGCGTTCACCTTGACGTTCAGTGAGCTCAGCCTGACAGACTCTCGGGTGCAGGCCGCTGGGCCTGTCTGGCTGCCCGGCACCCCGTAACGCTAACGCCCGGCCCCCTTTTCCCCTTCAGCCGGTTCACGCGAGCGCCTCCGGCGGCTACGGGAGCCGGGGCGTCAGCACCGCACATGCGCACGCGCACGCAGAGCCGGTACGTGGGCCCTGTGGCGTCTGCGCAGGCGCGCCCTCAGTCCTCTGCGGCTCAGAGTGTGACTTCCTGTTAGATGTTCTGGACCAACCTGGCCCCCTACTCGGTCACAGACTCCCCCGCTGACTCCGTCTTGGCTTCGTACAATGGCTGTCAAAAGAAAATACCCCCTTTGGAAGGTGATATGTGGGTTTACTGTACGCTTTCTAAAGATTACCGTATTGCGAATAGACGTATTTAAAGTCTCATTTGTACTGGCCGTGCCCTGGCTCGGGGGTGGGGGTGGGGGTGGGAGTTAACGTTGTCACTGTGCCCTTTGTCATTATGTCTTCAGAGAACCAGAGGTTGCATGTGTTTTGTTTGTGTATTTTTTAATGTACGTTTTTTGAAGCACCTTCTCTTTCTTTTCACGCAGCTGACTTTGCAGCACGTCTCTGCCAGTCTAAACAAAATTAAGAATCTAGGTTAGCAGCTCTACATTGAGGCCATGGCCAAGTCACCAGATAAGCAAGTGACGGGGGGGTCGGGGGGGGGCCGCAGGACGGCTTGGCGGTGAGTCAACGCGGCAGCTCCCAGACCTCCTCCCAGGGCTCTGCCCTCTCGTGGGGTAATGTGGCGCATGGGGGCAGAAAAGCTCCAGCCTGTGCTGCCACCTTTCACATTTCCCTGCCCTGGTGATGAGCGCAATAATGATAATGGCCGCAGCAAATACCGGTCGGGAAGCTAATTGGTATTACGCTGTAATTTCTGTATATTTCCACTAAGGAATTAATGTTTTTGGTAAGACCAGCAGATTCATAGATTCTTCTGAATCAGGTATCTATAAGTCGAAAGAGTTAATTAAAAAAAAATTTTTTTAATGTTTATTTTTGAGAGAGAGTCAGAGCACAAGCAGAGGAGGAGCAGAGAGAGAGGGAGACAAAGAATCTGGGAAGCAGGCTCCAGGATCTGAGCTGTCAGCACAGAGCAGGTCGGGGGCTCCAAGCATGAACTGTGAGATCATAACCTGAGCCAAAGCCCCATGCTTAACAGACTTAGCCACCCAGGTGCCCCAAAAGAGTTAATTTTACAGTACGTTTCAGATGTTAAAAAGTATATGAACATAATAATTCTGTTATTTAGAAGAATGAAGTATATTTAAGACCTTAACTGAATGCAAAACTTGGGATTTTTTAAATACATGTTTACTTTTCTTAAGTATGAGATAAGGAGCATTCCTAAGGAATTGGATCAGTCATGATGACTGACATTATTTAGAAAAGTTAACCTACTGGCATTGATAGCATTAAGTGATTGTGTACGAAAAAGAAAAAGGGTCTCAAATCAGCAAACTAAGCTTCCTCACTAAGAAGAAAGAACAAGAAGAGCAAATTAAATCCAAAGTAAGCAGAAAGAAAGAAATCATTAAAACTAGGTATTGATGGAATTGAGAACAGAAATTAATAAGAGAAAATTAATGAAATCAAAAGCTGATAAAAATAAAATTAGCAATCTTTTGGCCATACTTAACAAGAAAAGAAGACAGAAATGGCCAATATTGGGAATGAAAGACCACACAGATGTTTAAAGGCACTACAGACAACTCTATTCCCCCAACTTTGGTCTATTACTTGAAAGAAACAAGCTATCAGGACTCAGTGAAAAAGTAGGGTGCCTGGGTGGCTCAGTTGGTTAAGTGTTTGACTTCACCTCAGGTCATGATTTCATGGTTCATGGGTTCAAGCCCTGCATTGGGCTCTGTGCTGACAGCTCAGAGCCTGGAGCCTTCTTTGGATTCTGTGTGTCTCTCTCTCCCTCCCCTACTTGTGCTCTCTGTCTCTCTCTCTCTCTCTCAAAAATAAATAAATAAATAAACATTTAAAAAAATAAAGAACTCAGTGTAGAAGTAATAGATAACTAGAATAGACCTCTGGCTTACTACAAATACTGAATTTGAAGTTAAAAACGTTACAAAAAGAAAACCAGGCCCAGACGCTTTAACTAGAGAGTTCTATCAAACATTTAAGGAAGTAATAATGCCAGTCTACATAATCTTTTTTCACAAAATTGAAGACAGAAGAAAATAGAAGAAGAAGGAAGTTTGGAAAGGAAAGTCCCAAACTCATGAGCCCATTAGAACCCTAATACTGAAACAAGATAAAGACGATTCAAGAAAACTATAGACCAGGATCCCTCATTAACATATTTGCAAAATCATCAAATCAAATCCAGGAAAGTGTAAAAAAGACAAATGTATCATAACCAAGTATGACTTATCCTAAGAATGCAAGGTTCATTCAATATGAGAAAGTCAAGCACTTATATTCACCTTATTAACATAATGAAAAAAAAAACCATCAAGTTATTTTAGTAGATGGAGAAAAAGCATGTGCCAAAGTTCAGCATCTATTATGATATTCAAAAATGAGAAATAGGAAAGGAATTTCATTAACCTAACAAAAAAGCCATCTACAAACACCTACCGCTAACATTATACTTGATGGGGAGAGAATGGTCTTACCCTAACCTAAAGAACAAGTCAAGGGTATCTACTCAGCATGTCTTAGCATCAGACTGGAAGTCCCGTCCAATGTAGTAGACAAGAGAAATAAATAAATAGACATACAGATTGGAAAGGAAGAAATAAAACTCTTTCCATTCACAGATGACATGACTATCTACATAGAAAAATTCTAAAGGATCCACCAAAAAAAAAAAAAAAAGAAAAGAAAAGAAAAGAAAGCTCCTGCTGATTTTAGCAAGGTTACAAGATAAGCAGTCCATATAGAAGATCAGTTAAATTTATATGTACTAACAAGGAACAATTGGAAACAAATTTTTAAAAACTATCCAAAATGAAATGCTTAGACACAAAATCTAACATAAGATATGAAACAATCCATATACAGAAAACTATAAAACATTGGTGAAAGGAAAACTTTTTTTAAAAAAAGTACTAGGTAAATGAAAAGATACGTCAAATTCATTATTTAGAATACTCAGTATTGTTAAGATGTCAGTTCTCCCCAGGTTGGCCTGTACATTCAATGTAATTCCAATTAAACTCTGAGCAGGATTTTCTTTATAGGGATCATCAAGCAAATCCCCAGACTTACCTGAAAAATTAAAATAGCCGAAACAGTTTTGAAAAAGAAAAACAATATTGGAGGACTCACTGTATATGATATTGAGACCTACTAATTAAGACAGTGTGATATTGGTGAGAAGATAGATCAGTGGGACAGATTAGAGACTCCCAAAACAGACTTACACAAATGCAGTTTTTGAGAGAAGTGCAAGGTCAAGTCAATGGACAAAGGATAGGCTGTCCAGCAGATGGTACTGGATGATTAGACATCCACATATATTAAAAAATGAATGTCAACACATAGCACACATGTTATATAAAAGCTAGTTCAAACTTGATTATAGACCTAAATATAAAACTTAAAACTACAAACTTCTAGCAGAAGTCTTAGGAAAAAACCTTTGTGATCTTGGGTTTGGCAAAGAGATTTTAGGTACAGCATCAAAAGCATGACCCATAAAAGAAAAAAGACGATGAGATGGACTTTATCAAAATTAAAAACTTCTCTTTGAGGGACATTGGTAAGGCAATATGTGTAAATTATAGATACAACAAAAAAATTCATATCCACAACACATAAAAAACTGTCAAAATTCAACAATAAGAAGATAAACAATCCAACCAAAAAATGGTCAGTGGGCACCTGGGTGGCTCATTTGGCTGAGCATCTGACTCTTGATTTTGGCTCAGGTCATGATCTCACAGTTTGTGAGACTGAGCCGTGCATCAGGCTCTGTGCTGATGGCACGGAGCCTGCTTGGGATTCTCTCTCTCCCCCTCTCTGCCCTTCACCTGTGCATAGCACACACACTCACACTCTCTTTTGAAATAAATAAATAAACATTTTTTATTGGTCAAGAGATCTGACACTTTCCCAGTGTCAGAAGTACACCCAGATGGCAAATAGCATAGGAAACAATGCTTAATCTCAGTCATAAGGAAATTAAAACCACATGAGATATCAGCACACAACTATTAGAATGGCTAAAAAGTAAAAGAAAAAATACAGTACCGAGTTGTGACAAGTTATGCAGAGTAACTGGAGCTCTCAGACAGTGCTGAAGGTAATGTGAAATTGTACAGCACTTTAGAGAAGTTTGACAGTTTCTTATAAATTAAACATACTCTCTTTTACTATATGACCCAACAATTCCATTCTTATTTACTCAATCAAAAGAAAAACTCAAGTTCACACATAAACTTGTCTATGTGTTTATCATGCTTCAGAAATGCTCATCAAAAATTGGAAACAACCTAGATGTCATTCACCATTTAGGTGAATGGGTAAACCGGTCCATCCACACAATGGAATATTACTCAGTGGTAAAGGAAAAGGGACTCGATTCCTACAGCAACATATATGGACTTAAAATGCATTTTGCCAAGGGGGAAGAAGTCAAAACCAAAAGGTTACAGATTCTACAGTTCCATTCTAGAAAAGCATTCTTTCTGTGTTGACCACAAAGGGGTGGCTGAAAGGAAATTTCTGAGTGATGTAAACATTCCAGTAGTAAGAGACACAACTTTGTGCGTTTGCTAAAAGTCATGTATCTGCATACCTCATTCCACCCAGAATGAAGAGGAAACCCGAAGTGTTATGAAGGCTGTGACAAATGAATCTCACTGCATTACTCATAAGTGGCATTAACATACTGGGTGTAAGAAAAAAAGAAAAGGAGCTAAGTAGCTTTGGAAATCAGTGTGTTAACTGGCTACCCAAGGACTAAATACAAAATGCAAATGGACACAAACACTGTAATCAAGTTGATAAACTTGTTTCTCATCAGAGTATGGGTTAGCAATTCCAAAGGTAATTTATATACAGGGTAGGCTGAACAGAGAGGTGTATACATTATCGATAACAATAGCCAGATTCCTCACTATCAGAGAAGGAACTTACAGACCAGCAAAGAGGGCATGTTAGAATCGACTCTTGTTGCTGGGTTGGAGTTGAAGGTGTCAGCATGACACCTTAATGGATGGATGGACAGATGGACAGACAAGGATTAGCATACATGCATTATATTTACTAGTTTTTCTTACTGAAGGAATTACAAGGAGGTCCTTGTGGAAATAGGAAATTGCTATCAGTGGTCATCATGCTGTTTACCTTAAGTTTACACATTGCTGTATGTCAGCTATAGCTCAATAAATCTGAAAGAGGGGGGAAAACATTGGCAGTAATAACTGCTGTGAGGACTATCATGTCCAAAATTAGATGAAAGATTTTTTTAATTGTATATATATTTTTTCACCATTTTTAAAATTTTTAAAAATTTTTATTTATTTTTTAAAGTTATTTGAAAGAGAGAGAAAGAGCAGGGAAGGGGTAGAGATGGAGAGAGAAAGAATCCCAAGCAGGCTCTGAACTATCAGCACAGAGCCTGAGGTCAGTCTCATACTCATGAATCATGAGATCATGACCTGAGCCAACATAAAGAGTTGGAAGCTTAACCAACTGAGCCACACAGCCTCCCCTTAGCCATTTTTAAATGTGGAGTTTGGTATCATTAAGTCCATTCAGGGGCTTTTCTAGGGAGATATCTGGCAGACAGCAGCTTAACCAGTGATGAAGGCTCACATACCCACAACAAAATATGTCAAGGTCATGTACCCCTGTGGTGTGCGGTGCTGAAAAGGGCACAGCACATCTGAAGGAATCCTCCCCCAGGTGCATAGCCTCAACCTCATCATAGAGAACATCAGGGAAACTCACATCAAGAGGCAGATCAGGAAAGACCAGGAGAGACTGAGACCTTGACAACTGAAATCACTGTGAGTCGCGGGTTGGATCCTGGAGCAGGAAATGACATTTCACGGTGAAGCAGGTGAAATCCAAATAGGCTGTGGTTAAGTGGCAGTGTGCAACTGTGAATTCCTGACTTTTGTTTATCCTGTTACAGTTCTGCAAGATGTTACATCAGTGGGCGCTGGGTAGAGGGTATTTGGGAACTCTGCTATTTTTGTAGCCCTTTTCGAGTTTAAAGTTACTTAAGAATTAAAAGTATAAAGGTTCATAAGTGAAAGTTAACCAGTCATTTTTCAGTTAATTCCCTATAGAAATTGACCAGCCCCTTCCAGGCAGCTCACATGACCTTCATTAACAACAATCGCAGCTAACCCAGCCCCTCAGTACTGGATGTAGCTACTTGTTCCTTGAACCAATTTTCCTGTTGGTGTCTTGGTGTCGTGACGCCATACCCGGCAGGCTCTCTCTTACCTTTCTCCATGCTTTTCTTACATCTCCATTATTAGCTCATTGCTCTCTACACAAGGTTTAAGTTCTTCAGTGCTCCAGCCTCAGGCCACGTGTCTTCTCTCTATACTTCTGCTATCCAGTATGGCAGCTACTAGCCACATTGGCAATCTAAATTCAAATTCTTTACAAATAAATACAACTTAAAAATCAAGTTCCCCAGCTGCTGTGGCCACATTTCAAGTGCTTAATTGTTGCACGAGGTCTTAGCGGCTACCGTAGTGGACAGCACAGATGAAGACCCGTTCTGTCATTGCAGAAAGTTCTATTGGACGAGGCATCTGCCTGGGAGTAGCCTTACACTTCACATTGTGTCTGGTTACCCCCGTCCTGGTGAGGCTGAGATCAGTCAGTTGGCAGGTAGTGTCAGCTCAGTAATGAAGAGTCCCCATCAGCCTTTTACCTAATAGTGTTATTCCTCAACAGTCTTTGCTGAAACATTTTTTTTACCCCTTTTTTTGTAAAAAACAAAAAACAAATGTGATCATTCTGTGTGGATGCCTTTCTGTATCGGTGCATTTTTTTTTTTTTTTAGATCTGAGCTTGTTTTTAATAGCTACATAATATTTTACTGAATGTACAACATGCCAGAGGACCTGATGTAATTTTGTGTGATAAGTTCATAGGTATACAATATTTGTGATTACACATCCTTTCCCTTTCAGAGGAGCAGAAGGTCTCTTCTGCCTTCCAGACGTTAAAAAACAATGGCGTGCACATGAAGTCTTGTGAAGATTGGAGGAAAGACCAGCATGGCCCATCCTATCAACAAATAAATTGCATTGACAGTGTTATCAGGTGTGAGGCCATGTCGGTTTTTCCAGAAGCTTATGTTGTCACTGTAAGCACATACCTTACATCATCTTTAATTTTTTAATGGTTTTTTTTTTTTTTGTATTTATTTTTGAGAAAGACAGAGAGACAGAACACGAGCGGTAGAAGGGCAGAGAGAGAGGAAGACACAGAATCAGAAGCAGGTTCCAGGCTCTGAGCTGGCTGTCAGCACAGAGCCTGATGCAGGGCTTGAACCCACAAACCGTGAGATCATGACCTGAGCCAAAGTCGGACGCTTAACCGACTGAGCCACCCAGGCAGCCCTAGACTGTATTTCTAAGTCATTGTCACTTGTTGATCACATCAGCCGACACACGGGAGGCACTTAGAACAAACAGAACCCAGTGACGCAGTGGCAAGTCCTCAGCGAGTGTTAACCATCACTCGTGAGGTGGTTATGGGGCTGCAGTAGGTCACTCTGTTGCTGCCCTTGAGAGAAGGTGTCCTTGTCAGACTGACCGTGCCTGTGACCAGATGGGCCTTATACACGTCCACATTTCCATACTGGCCTGATAACAATCAGGAGAGTGTGTTCAAAACTCTCTTCTTTTTTGAGGCAGTTGGCCCCACGAGGAGTCAGAGATGCCTGTCCCTTCTCCTCCAGACTCTTCTGCCTGTCCCCCAGGCGGGATGTCACGCCATGCCACAGTTCTTGTGCTTATTGGAAGGGGGCTACCCAGCGGCCATCGGGGTAGGTGTGCACATGTGCGTGTGCCCCACGTCCTCAGTGTGGGGGGGGGTACAGGTGGGAAAACCCTGAGCACCTGTGGGGTGTTAAAAAAGGTTTTTAAGAGCAAGGGAATCAAGAGCAAACATAAATGATTGGGACCTCATCAAGATTAAAAGCTTCTGCACAGCCAAGGAAACAACCCAGAAAACTAATAGGCAACCAACGGAATGGGAAAAGATAGTTGCAAATGACATATCAGATAAAGGGTTAATATCCAGAATCTATAAGGAACTCACCAAACTACATGCCCGAAAAACAAACAACCCAGTGAAGAAATGGGCAGAAGATATGAACAGACACTTCTCCAAAGAGGACATCCAGATGGCCAACAGACACATGAAACGATGCTCAGCATCCCTCCTCATCAGGGAAATACAAATCAAAACCACACTGAGATGCCACCTCACGCCAGTCAGAGTGGCTAAAATGAGCACATCAGAGAACTCTAGATGCTGGCGAAGATGTGGAGAAACGGGCACCCTCCTACACTGTTGGTGGGAATGTAAATGGGTGCAGCCTCTCTGGAAAACAGTGTGGAGGTTCCTAAGGAAACTAACAATAGAACTCCCCTATGACCCAGCAATAGCACTGCTAGGAATTTACCCAAGGGATAGAGAAATGCTGATTCACAGGGGCACATGTACCCCAATGTTCATAGCAGCACTCTCCACAATAGCTAAAACATGGAAAGAGCCTAAGTGTCCATCAACAGATGAATGGATCAAGAAGATGTGGTTTATCTATACCATGGAATACTACATGGCAATGAGAAACAATGAAATCTGGCCATGTGTAGCAACATGGATGGACCTTGAGGGTGTTATGCTGAGCAAAATAAGTCAGGCAGAGAAAGACAAATATCATATGTTTGCACATATAGGAGGATTAGGAGGAACTTAACGGAGAACCATGGGGGAGAAGAAGGGGGGAAATGGTGGGGGAAAGGGAGAGAGGCAAACCATGAGAGACTCTTGAATGCTGAGAAACAAATTAAGGACTGATGGATGTGGCGGGGAGAGGGGAGATGGGCATGGAGGAGGGCACTTGTGGGGGTGAGCACTGGGTGTTATGTGGAAACTAATTTGACAATAAACTATTTGTAAAAAAAAAAAAAAAGGTTTTTAAGAAAACAAACAAACAAAAAAAAACCTCTTCCTTTTAATAACTTAATGACTTGGTAAATTTTTCTGATGTCTACTTTTTGTTACTTTTTACTGCCTCCTGCCCTTTGACTTTGTTGTTATAACAACTTGGTGGACGAAGAAGTGGTGACCAAAGGTGTTACATCAGTTTGTGGTTGCCTCTCATTTCTTGTTGCTGGTCTTCAGTGACCCATCAGGAAACGTATTGAGCTGTTTCTGTGTGCAGCTGTCTGTCCTTAGTCCTTCATAGGAATGAACTCATCTGATCTTGATTTTGACACTGACCCTTGCAGATGGAGATTACCGTATTGACAGGCGGGCTGGGGGTCGGTGGAAAGAGACCAGGGACACAACCGTTGTGAGCTTAGATTATGTTTCTAATGAACTGAAGATAGAGTTTTATTGGAGCTGAGCCAGTCCCCCAGGAAGGAGCGCTGCACACTTTTCAGTGTACCTTTTCTTGACACTTTCGGTTCCAGTGTGGATGTAATAGCTGCCAGTGACTCAGCCCACACAAGGTGGGTGGTCTCATCCAATGGGGAAAGATTCTTTAATTATGCCACCATACTTTTTGTAATCTGGTGTGAATCCCCATTTTGAAAGAATTCTTAGTAAAGTCTGTAGGGTCTCACTGAAGGGAATATTTATTGATAATTGTTTGTCCTGAGCTTTAACCAGTCTCAGCATCTGCGGGGCCACATCTTTATTCCAAGGAGAAGAAACAGAAGCAGGGTCTCTGTAAAGTATCCGTATGTCTTCTGCTCTTTGGAAAGCCTAATCCCTGCCATTTACACCCTGACTCTAATCATGAGTTGGGTCTGAGGACTGTGACCCCAAATGCCTTTCCCTGCAAGCTATTGTCTCCATTTTGTATACAGAGCAGTTAAGGCACAAACAAGTTAAGTGAATTCTCCAAAGTTGCATAGCAAATAAGTGACAGATAAGGGAATCAGACATTAGTAAGCAGTCTCCAGAAACCGTTGCCATTAACAGATATTTTTGAATCCATAGCAGGGTCAAGATGGCCTGTGAAATAGAGGCAGGAGGAGATAAGTTAAAATGTAATTTTAAGAAACATGCAAATAATCCAAAAGAAGGGCAGAAAAGGAGAAATAGAGCAACAACCACCATCACCAGAGGACATGTTAAACCCATGATAATAGCTCTGAATCCAACTGGATCCACTCGAATTACAAGGCGGAAATGGTCAGAACAGATTTAAGAAAATCAAGACGCAACTTCATACTGGCTGGAAAATACAGTTTAAATATAATCCAATAATGGATTGAGGATAAATGAATGAGAAAAGAGGCACAACGCAGACAATGAGACTGGAGGGCTGGCGTGCCAGTGGTGATAAACTAGACTTCGAGACAGTCTTCCCAGACACGCTTCGTGGTGGTAGGCAGTCCACCAGGGAGACATCATAATCGTAATACATTATGTATATTCAATAAATGCAGAGTTTCCAAGAGCAGAAACGAAACTGGAAAGAGAGAAATAGATTTTCCATAACCTGGAAAAGTAACACTGCTTTTGTGCAGTTAATAAAACATCTAGACAAAAACAAAAAACAAAAAACGAGTAAAGCAGTAGATCTGAGCAATACTGTCAACCACCTTGACCTCATTTACATTCAGCGAACACAGCACCCGGTACGTACACAGTACGTGTTCTTTTCAAGCCTACGCAATATGTTCGTTGAGGTATAAAATATGTTGGGCTGTACTATGTCCAAGAGTTAAAATGACATCATACATGCTATACTCTCGCTTGAGCTACTTCAGTTAGAAATCAGTGAAGCCATCTGGGGTTAGAGTTTTCTTGGCAAAGTTTTTAACTACAGATTCAGTTTCTGTCAGACACGGCTGTTCAGGTTTTCTACTTGTTGAATGAACTTTGTGCCTGTATTTTGTCTACATTGTCAGATTTATTGGCATAAACATGTTCGTAATGTTCTCTTGTTCTTTTGCCACCAGTAAGATCTCTAATGTTCCCTCTGTCATTTCTGAGGTTGGCACCTTACTGTCTTCCCCTTTTTCTCTGATCGGTCCGGCCAGCGGTCGCTGATTTGATTGGCCTTCTCAAACCGCAGCTTACAATTGCACTGGCTTGGTTCGTTGTTTTCATGTTTTCTATGTCACTGATTTCTCCTCTGATCCGTATTGTTTCCTTTCTTCCACTTACTTTGATTTCATCTTGCTCTTCTCTTTCCAGTCTCTCAACATGGAAGCTGAGTTGATTTTGGACATTAAATTTTTTTTTTAATTTATTTATTTTGAGAGAGCAAGGAGGGGAGGGAAAGAGAGAGAATCTCAAGCAGGCTCCATGCTATCAGAGCAGAGCCTGATGTGGGGCTCAGACTCATGAACCGTGAGATCATGACCCGGGCCAAAACCAAGAGTCAGATGCTTAACTGACTGAGCCACCTGGGCGCCCCTCCTAATGGATTTTAATGCAAATTTTCTTTTTACCCCTGGCTGTGTTCCACACATTTGGCTGTATTGTGTCATTTTCACCGTGTTCAAATATTACCATCCCCTCGCCGTCTCCTTTGAAATCACTTACGTCATCATGTATCTCTATATTTGCTGTCAGAGATTACTTCGGTACCACATATTTGGGGGTTTTCCACAGCTCTTTCTATTACTGGTTTCTAATTTAATCCCCTTGTGGTCCCAGAAAATATGAAACTTGAATTCTTCTATATTTGTTGAGTTTCGTTTTATGGTCTGTGATGTGCTCTACCTTGATGACTGTTCTGTGTGCGCCGGGAAAGAATGTTTACTCTGCTGCTGTTGGATGTTTTCTCAGCGGAAACCGGGTCAGGTTGGTTGATACCATTGTTCAGGTCGTGTCTGTCCTCACTAGTCTTCTCAGCATTTGTTCTGCTTTACGAGGAGGACTCACACCCCTGACCATAATTGTAGATTTGTCCGTTTCTCCTTGTGGTACCACTGGTTTGGGCTTCACACATTTTGAAAGAACGTTTATTTTGTGCATAAATGTTTGGCCTTCTTATGAATTAGCCCTTTTATCATTGTGAAATGACCTTCTTTGTCCCTTGTATAGTCTTTAAGATGCACTTTGTCTCGTATTCATGTACTCACTCCAGCATTATTTAAATCAGCACTAGCATATTCTGTCCTTTCTGCCTTTTTGCTTTTAACCCAGGTATGTTTATGTTTAGAGTGGGCTTTACTTTCATGGCTGCTTTGGGGCTTATGGTATACACATTCCATTGTTCACGGTCCACCTTCTGGAAATATGGTATCACTTGATGTATAATGTAAAAATCCAAGACTAGTGTACTTGCGCTTCCCCCTTCTGGCCCTTGTCTGGTGGCACGTGTCTTACTTCTACATGTGTTATAAATCCCACCCCACACTGCTGTTGCTTCATGTAGGTACTGGTTATCTCTTCAGCTATTTCCCCCAGTAGCTACCTCTTCCAGTGCCTGTGAGACTCGAACTCATAACTCCGAGATCAAGAGTCACATGCCCCTCTGCCTGAGCCAGCCAGGTGCCCCAGTACTATCGATTTTTTTTTTAATTTTTTAATGTTTATTTATTTTTGAGAGAGAGAGAGAGATAGAATCCGAAACAGGCTCCAGGCTTTGAGCTGTCAACACAAAGCCCAATGTGGGGCTCGAACTCACGGACCACGAGATCATGACCTGAGCCAAAGTTAGGCACTCAACCAAATGAGCCAGCCAGGTGCCCCTATCAATTTTAAATCTAAAAAGACCACTCAAAGTCTGTCTACAGGTGTTTACTGTAATAAGTTGGGGTATACCCATAAAATGGAAGACTGTGATATGTAAAAAATATACTATAGCTCTCTCTGTGCTGGTAAAAGGGATGCTCTGGGGACACCTGGGGGGCTCAGTCAGTTAAGCGTTCAACTCTTGATTTCAGGTCAGGCCATGATCTCACCGTCGTGCTTTCAAGCTGAGCATCCCGCTCTATGCTAGGCGTGGGGCCTGCTTGGGATTCTCTCTCTCCCTCTGCCTCTGTCTTTGCCTTTCCCCCGTGTGTACACGCGCTCTCTCTCAAAAAAAAAGGGGACGGGACGGGATGTTGTTAAGTGAAAAAAAACACACTGTAGATAGTGTACATATTATATGCCTTTAGAGTAAAAATCAGGGTGGGGAATACAAATCTATATTGCTGCTTATTTACAGGTGCATAAAGAAACTGGACTGATATATAAGGAAATAAAAGAAATGGAGATCCTGTGGGGGAAATAAATGAGAACTAGGCACACAGTAGACATGAATGGGGAGAATTTACTAACTGCCTGTTTAATGCTTCTTGATTTTTGAACCACATGAATATACTTCAGCTTTTTAAAATTAATTCAAAGTCAGGGCGCCTGGGTGGCTCAGTCAGTTGAGCGTCTGACTTCAGCTCAGGTCCTGATCTCACGGTTCGTGGGTTCGAGCCCCGTGTCAGGCTCTGTGCTGACGGCCTGGAGCCTGCTTCACATTCTGTGTTTCCCCCCTCTCTGCCTCTTCCCCATTCACACTCTGTCTCTCTCTCTCTCAAAAATAAATAAACATAAAAATAAAAATTTAAAACAATTGTATTGAAAATCAATTAAGATCAGTGAAAATAAAATAAATGCAAATAAATGGTAGCAGTTAAACTTAAATCTGTCCCCATCCACCTCAGCAGAAGTGACGCCAGCAGAGGATGCTGTCCCAGTGTGTGAGCCCCGGACCACGTGCTCACACCCCAGCTCTACGGCCTCAGAAGAATTTCAGCACGTAGGGCTCATGAACGCTGTGCTGTCAGCGCACACACAGAAGGGGGAGCAGAATTATGTTGATAAATTCCGGGAAAAGATCTTGTCATCGCCCTACAGAGGCTGTCTTCAGCAAGAAAGCAGAACCGAAGCTAAACATCTGTATATTCAAGGTAGTTACACTTTAAAAACTGTGCCTCATTTATCACTTCCAGAAATACGTGTAAGTCCCGGGAGAGAGGAAGTGAAGAATAGGGGGGTTGCTTTTAAGAAACAGTTGAGAGGGGCGCCTGGGTGGCTCAGTCGGTTAAGCATCCGACTTCGGCTCAGGTCATGATCTCGCGGTTCGTGGGTTCGAGCCCTGACTGCCAGCTCAGAGCCTGGAGCCTGTTTCATTCTGTGTCTCCCTCTCTCTCTGACCCTCCCCTGCTCACGCTCTCTCGCTCTCTCTCTCTCTCTCTCTCTTCCCTAGAAATAAAAAAAGGAAGGAAGGAAGGAAGGAAGGAAGGAAGGAAGGAAGGAAGGAAGGAAGGAAGAAAGAAAGAAAGAAAGAAAGAAAGAAAGAAAGAAAGAAAGAAAGAAAGAAAGAAAGAAAGAAAGAAAGAAAGAAAGAAAGAAAGAAAAAAGAGATTGAGAGATGCGACTGAGAGATACTGAAGTAAGTTTACTTTCTAGGCCCAGCTTTACCCCGGCTCTTGCTCCCCTTCTTAGTGGCCGTGGCAGTGGACGTGGTCCCTGCCGGCAGGTGTTTTTTCTTCCTGACCTACACACAGTCACCTAGGAATGGCGGTCTTCTCTTCTTCTTGGTTTTAGTTTCCATCACACGCCTCCCCCTTCATCCTTCAGGAGACGCTGCCACCCGGGCGGCAGAGCAGCGGTCGGGGGAGGGGAGCACGCGCGGAAGAAGCTGTCACAGCGGCTGGACAGCAGCAGCACTAAGGACGCCTTCTGTCCCCACTTCCGAGGGGACGTCCGCGACACACAGCCGGGGGGCCCTTGGCTCGCCTCCTGTCCGTGGGCCTCCGGCCTGTCGTTCCGGCTCCTTCCCTGGTCCCGGCCCGGCCCTTGCGGGGGGGAGGACCCGCTGCGGAACCGGCTCCCCTCGAATGTCTGCCCGAGCCACGTTTGCCCAGCGGCTCGCAGGCTTTTCCTGCCCCCCCACCCCTTAGATGCTTTGATGACCATTTTCCTGCATGAGCCCCCGGTCTGTCCCCTGTTGTCACCATCGTTCCCTCCATATCCGTTCTTGGGAGCACCGGGCTCTTCTGAAAGTCCACCCTCAGCACCCGCCGTGGCTGCCAGCCTGGAACCCCCGTGGCTGGTGCTCGGCCCAAGGCGAGCAGGGGGGAGGTAGGGGACGCTGTGTGAAGAGCGCCCGCTCCCTAACTTGAGAAGCAGCTCACCCCTGCAGCTCAACTTACTGCGGCAAGACGTGCTCAGATCCTGCCTTCAGGTCGGATGAGAAGGGATAGCTGCCCAGAGGCCAAGGGTGTAAGTGACTAAGTGACGCTAACTTCCAGTGTGTGAGAACGTAAATGTGGGTCTTCTTATATTAAAATTAAGGTTCTTGCCCTGGGGCCCAACACCGAGGGCCGTGAGCAGGTACTTGGCGTCACACCTGTGGCCCAGACTGTGCGCCTTGATTTGCAGAAACATGCACTGTATCCCCGACTCCACATAACAAGCAAGAACTGAAAAACCAGCTGAGTCCTGGCTCCTTAGATACTTGGTAGCGTTTCCCAAAGTACTGTCTTTCACATTTTCCATGTGAACTGGCTTCCCCCCGCCTTTAAAATGTGACATCCAGTCCTTAAATTTAACATAGTCATTGCCTGTAAAATGTGTTTTCTTCCTTACAACTGGGGTTGTGCTTTGGTAAGTCAGGAGTAAACCACAGCGACCAGACCAGAACTGAGTGTGTGCGCCCTTGCGGGCGTGGCTGAGGGACAGAAGTGTGTCAGGAGAGGGGAGGGCCCACTGTTTGTCACTGACTTATCAGTAAAGTAGGTAGTTTATAGTTCCACACTTATACACATCATTTTCAAGACCAAAAATTGTTTGGGTCATTTTCCTTTAACTTTTCATCCCTTTACCTAAAAAGACATTCTCAGATATATTTATCCAGCTAAACTTTGGAATATGATGTTCCTATACTTAGGGATAGGGATTCAAGACGAGTGTAAGTATTTACAATTTTCTTTGGTCTTCCCTTCAAGGTATAATACCGTTGTTTGACAAATGCTCAGAATCTGCTGATCCAGATCAAGAAAATATGCTCAATTTTGAAAGCCTGGTATCAGGGCACCTGCTAGAAATCTAATGCAAGGCGGCGTATCGTGTATCCCAGTGAGCAGAGCCGGGCTGTGGCATAGGACACGGCTTCAGACCCTCTGTCACTTGGTCAGCGAGTTCGCTGAGCCAAGTCAGTCAGCCTTCCTTTGCCTTTGTTCCTTACTTGAAAAATGAAGAGATTGAGCCTTGATAGATTTTTCTGAGGATTAAGTGAAGTACTTATGTAGGCCTTCTTCCCTCGCAATATAAGCTCAGGTTACCTGCAACTTTGTTTTGTTCACCCCTCTTTTGGGGAATAGTGCTGAGAACTGACCAAATGGGCAGGATATCCGGGATCACACAACCGCAGAAGTAAAGTGTACAACCGCGTGGCGCCTGGCGTGCAGTAGGTGCTAAACCCAGCAGTGCCTTTAATGTTCCGTGCACAGGCACCTTGACCACAGCCTTGGGGACGGGCTGAACTGTTTCACGTGCCAGTTACATACGTGCTTCGTTCTGTTTAACGTGTGAACTTCAAGATCTGCCAGTTATTTTATAATGGGACATCTGAGACGTTAAAAGTCTCTTTTTGTGGCCTTCCTTTCTGCAGCGTGTCCTACTCAACAGTGGTAATAAGAACAGCCACACAGCATCACTTCCTGAGGAATTTCCTTCCGGAGCGGCCTCTGCAGCATCAGGTAGTGGGCCAGAATGACGAATTCCCCAAACTCCGTTGCCAGGAGATCACTGTGTTACAGGCCATCTGGTTTGGGCACTGGTGCAGAAGTAATTTTTCTTTGTTTATAAGCTTTATTAGGATGTGTTTACATACAATAGAATTCACCAGTTCTGACAGATGTATGCATCTGTGTAACTAGCACCACCTCGGCATACAGAACATTTCCGTCGCCTGGAAAGGTTCTTCTGGGACCCTTTATAGTCAGTCTCTGCCCTCATGTTCCAGCTCTGTCACTATAGTTCTGATTTTTTATAATTTTCCGTGAACTGAATCATCCAGTATACAGTCTTTTATTTTTATTTTTTTTAATGTTTATTTTTGAGAGAGAGAGAGAGAGAGACAGAGTGTAAGTGGGCAAGGGGCAGAAAGAGAGGGAGACACAGAATCCGAAGCAGGCTCCAGGCTCTGAGCTGTCAGCACAGAGTGCGATGTGGGACTCAAACTCTTGAACCACGAGATCACGACCTGAGCCGAAGTCGGATACTTAACCGACTGAGCCACCCAGGCGCCCCTGGTATATAAAGGCTTTGTGTTGGGATTCTTTCAGTTAAGCCAGTGCTACTGAGATTGATCTTGCTAGTGTGCCTCAGTAGTGTGTTCCTACTTATTACTGAGTATAATTAAATTGTATGGACATTCGTTCACTGGTTGACAATTATTTGGTCACATTATAAATAATGCTGCTATGAACATTGAGTCTGAGTCTTTGTACACATATGTTTTCATTTGGTAAATACCTAAGAATGAGATTGCTAGGTCATGCGGTAAGTGTGTGATTAACTTTATTTATTTATTATTATTAAAGTATTATTGACATACAACGTCATATTAGTTTCCAGTGTACAACACAATGATTCAGTAACTTGATGGCAACTTGCACAACTCCTCTTTCTCTCCCTTCGGTCTCTGCACAGAAGAGGTTCCCTCCCCTCTGTGCCTAGGCTTCTTTATCAACTCCAGTTGCATACACACACCCATTCCTGCCAAGCCGTCTCCCTCCAACTCTGGAGATCCTTCTGGCACTCCGCAGATCCATCTCCCGGGTGTTCCGAGTGATCTGACCTCCATACAGCTGTGAGGGAGGAGGAAAATCCCGGTCCCCCACTTCTCCACCATTTTCGCCCATATACTTACTTTTTAAATATTAGAGAGGTATTTTTGTTTGCTGTGTGTGTGTGTGTATGTGTGTGTATGTGTATACGTGTGTGTTTTGGGGGGTTTTTGTTTGTTTCAAAGTTGATGGGAAGGATCTAGAAGAGTCATATGTAAGTAAGGAAAGGAATGATTTGCAAGGATGAGCCTTGGGATAGATGGATACATCTATCTCTGTTGTAACAGGAGGAGTGAGGAGAGACTACGGGTATGAGTAAGCTTGTGTTTAGTGTCAGGATAGTGACATTTCTCATAGGTGAGCGTGAGGAGCAGAGACACAGAAAATAGTCACTGCTAGGACAGGCTGGTATGCTGGCCGGAGAGCGTAGCAGAATTACCCAGCTGTCGTATGATCCTCTTGGTGATAATGAAATCAATGTGCCCAATGATATATGACTTTGTCCCTGTCTCTGGTTACTTGGGTTTACATAAGAACAGAATTGGCAGTTGGCTTTATGAGAATTGACATTTTGATAGTTGTGAAAAATGAGATGGAAAAAGAAATCTCAGGTATTGTAAAAAGTGTGACCGACTGATGGGCTGAGGGCTGAAGGGCCGGGGCACTTTGTGGTTGGCGCACTTGAACAAGCAGACGAGCAAGCTGAGATGTTGGTGATTTTGGAGATGGAGCTGACCTGGAGCGTTTCCAAGTGGTGAAAAGAGTGAGGTGTGGCCCTGAGTGTGGACAGCTCAGGAGGAGTGAGAGGGACATCGAGGGAAGACAGAGGCACTGGAAGGGGGTCGCTGGCACCACAGCCGGGCCAGGTGATGGCGAAGACTGTCGGTTAGTGGCCACAGTTTGAAGAATGAGTTTGGCAAAACCTGCCCCTAACAGCTTTCTCCTAATTGCAATTGTTGCTGATCTTTGATAGGAAGCAGTGAGCACAGTATATACTCTGCTGGTAATGATTCTTCTTCTGAAATCACCTCAAAGGGGCAGCGGTCTCAGAATGCACAGAAAAAAGAAGTTCCCCAATTTTGCTGAAGAGCCCCTGTGGAGAAGGACAAAACAAACACCCAGGTGCATTCTCATGGCGTATCAGGGACCCAAGAGGTAAGAAAGTACTTTAAAAGTCCCACTTTTATTTTACTTTAAGTTTATTTAGAGGGAGAGAGCATGATCAGGGGAGAGGCACAGAGAGGCGCACAGAGAAGCCCCAGCAGGCTCTGCGCTGACAGGGGCCCCACCTCATGAACTGTGAGATCATGACCTGAACCAAAATCAAGAATCTGATGCTTAACTGACCAAGCCCCCCAGGCGCCCCTAGAAGGCCCTCTTTTAAGTGGGTGTTTTGTTTGTTTTTTTTTAAGACATGATTACAGTTTTTTAAGTGTGTTGTTTAATACGAAGTGATTTTTAAATTATGTTTTGTATAGATGTTCTTGCAGAAATGTGTTTTTACATTCATTCATTTGAAGTTAAATGATGGATGACCCCAGGGCAGTAGCTGTAGTGTTCAATACCGCGCACACCCAGACCCAGACGGCACCAGCGTGTGCATCGTGAGACGGGAAGACACAGACCGCAGCCCTTCCCCAGAGGGCGCGCACAGGAACTTCCTCTTTAGACGCGGAGTTTTTCCCGTGCTGAGAGAAGAGAGAGGCTAAGGGAAACGTGTGTCTTGTGTCTGCCCCATTCAGGCGCTGGTACAGACGCCCCCTCCACGAGATAGAGCGCTCGCTTCACCGGCTTGACGAGGAGCCGATTCAGTTCTTTAATGTGCCCGCTATATATTAGCAAGCGGTAGAAAGTAGATCACGGACCCAAGCGGTGCTTTTCATGCATCGCAGGAGACACCTGTGCCTTACCCAGGGCCAAGGCCGCTTGTCTGTCCACAGGGTGAGGGAGACCCTGCTGGAAGGGGACCTGGAGGGGCTGGCGGGCATGCGGCCGCAGCAGCCCCAGCTTTCACGCGCCCAGAGGGAGGAGCTGGCCTGGGGCACCCTTGGAGTCAGAGTCGGACCGTCCCTCGAGAAATAGACCTCCGGGTCAGCACAGTGACCACAGCTGTCGTTCCAGGTGTTCTCCTGTGCCAGGTGGTGCTGCAGGCACTCAGGACTCCTTGCAGGATCCCGTCAAAAGTCACAACCCTCGGTTCCTTCTGCTTTCCTATACCTGCTTTACCAACAAACAGCACGGCAATGTATACAGATGGTGAGCCCTTTATACGTGGCTGGACAGTCCCTCTGATTTTGAATACAGGTCTTTTTGACTGCAAGTGTTCTTACTGGTTGGAATGTTCTGGTACACCTGCTTTGATATGTGGCTAACAAGGGAGGAGAGGAACAAGGGACTTGTATTTCAAATATGCAGGTGTGTTTGCACAGAACTAACACTCCAGGTGTCGGCCTCACAGCAGAGCGAGTCCCACCTGGCAGGAGCCTCCGTGAGCCCCAGGTGCTCTTGCGCCATTGCGAGATCTTCTCCGTGAGACCATGTGTGAGCGGCCCGGACAGTGCAGTTTTGATTTGCTCGTGGCCCTGATGGTGGCTCCGTGGAATGGCTGTGACAGTTGTACCAGTAATGAGCTCGTTATTCCCACAAGTGTCAAGATGTGGGAGGTGATAATGTGTGAAGTTAAAAATTATGGTAAGATTAGGGGCGCCTGGGTAAGCATCCAACTTCTCACGGTTTGTGGGTTCAAGCCCCGCGTCGGGCTCTGTGCTGACAGCTCAGAGCCTGGAGCCTGCTTCAGATTCTGTGTCTCCCTCTCTCTCTGACCCTCCCCTGCTCCTGCTCTGTCTCTCTCTGTCTCTCTCAGAAATAAATAAATAAGATTTTGGGGGCGCCTGTGGGGCTTAGTCGGTAAAGCGTCTGACTCCTTATTTCGACTCCGGTCATGATCTCACATTTGTGGGTTCGAGCCCCATGTTGGGTTCTGTGATAACAGTGTGGAGCCTGCTTGGGATTCTCTCTCTCTCTCTCTCTCTCTCCCTCCCCCCTCCCCTGCTCATGCATGCATGCACTCTCTCTCACTGTCTCCCCAAATAAATACACTTTAAAAAATAAAATACTATTTGTATGCTTTTGAATAGAAGAATATATGAATGAGCCTCAAAATAATTTAAGCAAAAGTATGTAAGCAATTGTCATTTCCCTTTTAATAATAAGGAATGACTAATACAGACTATTTTTAGGCATGAATCGAATAAATTGGGGAATGAGATGGAGGGTGCGTGGCCAGCATTTTACTGCTGTTCAGGCTTTCCAGATGACTTACGTCATCCTGCATGCTCCTGTTCTCTGCTGCAGGGCTGCGTCACCCGCGCAAGCCAAGATTCCCTTGGTGACGCCGCAGAGTCCTGTGGTGGCGCTCCCGCGGCGGACAGCTGAGCGAGTAGCCACGGGGCTGCACTTGCTCTCCGTGTGTCTCTTTGGCCCCTGACTCCTGTGTGGCCAGGAAGCTCTCACTGAATGTGAAGGTTTTCCCTTCTGGACTTTTTAATAGGCATCATTTCTCTGAGGCAGACATGGTATATACAGTCTTCTATTCCTCAGTTTCTGGTGCATTCAAGCTGTCACTCAGCTTCTCTTTCTAGTTGCCCGTCTTCTGAGGAGATTGGACGGCCTCCGGAGGGGTGTGTGCGCAGCGAAACTTGACTTCGGTGTTACCCCAAACAAGTGGCAGTTAGAAGTACGGCCAGAAATAATTCTGAGATTCCGTGGCTGCCGGTTGACAGAATTTTGTCAACAAAATCTCGTTGACAGAACGAGATCCTGGAAGCCGCGGGACTCTCTGGGGCTACACTTCTCACACCGTGTACGCCTTTCTGTAGCAGAGCGGTGACAACACAGGGAGAAGAAGCACCTACGTGGTTGCCAGGTGCACGCTCTCTAACGGGCTGTTCCGCACGGCGTCCGGGACCACCTGCGACACCAGCCTTGTCCCCGGGCCTCATTGTGCAGCACAGTGCGAGTTGGGGGGGGGGGGTCAGGACCCGGTCCAGGGCTTGGCCTGTGCACTGGGAGCAGGGACCGGGATGTTTGAATCTGACCCCAGGGCCCCATGCGCAGGAGTACTTTGCCCATAGCCCTGAAACAAGGGACAGGGCTCAGAATTACCCTTCGCTGGAATCGCACGGAAGCTCTTTCTGGTGTCATCAGTGCAAAATGGTTTGGTGGCGCCAGGGTTCTGTGTTAGAGAACCAGTTAGTATCAGCTTGGTCTCAGTGGTGGGGTCGCCACCGCGTTACCACGGCTCCCTGGTGTCAGCGTGGCTGAGACTGCGCTTCCATCCTTCGAGTGCGAAGCCTCCTTCCCTGGGGGTCGTCCCGAATCCGGGAAGGGACGCTTTATCACACCTGTGTCGTAGGAGAGGCCTTCGGAGCTTGTGACAAGTTCAGGGCCGATTCCGGGCGGCCGTTCGGTGCCACTCTGACACTTGGTCTCCTGAGCGGCTGCCTGGCCGAAGGGGAGCCCGCAGGGAGGCTCCGGGTCCGGTTAGAGCTGCGCTTTCCCGGGCCTGCTTCACGCTGGGAGCCCCTGCTGCCGATTCTGTGTTCAAGCTCGCCGGTATAGACGCGTTCACAGGGCATAAGTTGGTGTGTGCACACATTTTAGTGGCTTTTAAAAATGAACAACCGGGGCTTTTCCTTCCGTTCTGCAGTCCTAAACCCTCCTCAGCCTCCTGTATAGGAGACCATCCTTGAGTCCGCAAGCCTGTGTCCCCGTGAAGGGATTGAAGCTCAGGGACAGGGACCTGAGCACCTGAACCTTCCCCGTCAGAAGCTGTGGAGAATTCAGACCTCTCCCAGCCCGCATCTACACATCCTCCACCGTAGAGACCTCTCCACTCCAAGATGCTGATTTTTATAAGTGGTGATACCGTATGTCGTCATCCTTAAGGGTTGAGGGGACATGTGGGGACATGTAATGTTTAAGTGAGTTGTAGTTTAACTATTTCAACTGTAGTTCAACTATTTTCAACTAAAAATTGCATTGTTGTGACTTTTCTTCTTAGTGTTTGCTTCTGTTCATTTTATTAGCTTTACTTTTAAATTTTCAGAGTTCTTTAAAGATAAATCGATGAAGGAGTGCTGGGGTGGCTTAGTCGGTTAAGCGTCCCACTCTCGATTTTAGCTCCAGTTATGATCTCACGGTTCGTGGGATTGAGCCTGATGTCGGGCTCTGAGATGACAGTGTGGAGCCTGCTTTTGGGATTCTCTCTCTCTCTCCCTCTTTCTCTGCCCCTCCACTATTCATGCACACTCTCTCTCTCTCAAAAATGAATAAATATTTTTTAAAAAAGAGAACTTGATGGAAAGAAAAATTACACATTTTCAGAACCCATGTATAAGTAAAATGACCACTCATGTTACTTGCAAAACATAGAGGATTTATTTTTCCAAGTAATAATGAACAGGGTATAGTTTGCTTAGGGTTTTTTCTATACTATTTTCAAATCAGGCATTTTTATCTTTAACTTTCTAAGGTGGTGGTTTTTGAGTTGACTAGTGGATATCCGTTTTACTTCAGACGCAGTATTTCCAGAAGCATTCAGAGGGAGAGCCACGTTTCTTATATTGTTTCCTGATTCTGGCCAAAAGACGAGTCAGGAAAACGTTAGGATCTTGTCCAAAGAAAGCCTGAAACTAAAACAATACACAAAAACAAATAAAAAACACAGGTTGTCAATTAAGACCCATACAAGAAAAAAGAACTGTAGTTAAGATGTAGGACCTTTGAAACTTGTTTGCAGTTGTACCTACAGTAAGAGCCCAGTGTGTGGCTCTGGAAGGGCCCCTGCACCCAGTTGGGGGTCCACGGAGTCTACGTGGCCCTCTGCTGGCCACAACATTTCCTAAGCCCTCACTGACCTCTTTCTGTCTAAATAATTTGTCAGTAACGTGATCTGTACAGTTACCATCTTCTGTGTAAACTAGGTCTTGTCCTTCCCCTGAAATTTACCTATTAAAGCGTGGACCCTTACGTTTGTTTTTATTGTAGATTTCATGAGCGAATCCTATTAATCACCTTTGTGATTTTAGAGTCTTTAACCATAATCCTTCCACTCAGAGGAATATAAACATCTGAATGATAACTTTTAATTAGTCACATGCAGAAACCACACGAGCCCTTTCTGGGGGGATTATCCCCGTTGGGACCTCGGGTGGTGAACACCATCTCCAGGATCGAGTGTTTCCAGTGTATTCTTATAAGGATGTTAATGGGTAGTACACCCAAAAACAAACAAACAAACAAACAAACGTCTCTGGTCACAATGTTTGGGAAGAGCTCGGCTAAAGTTGAGTAAGTTTCCCTGAGGATTCCCTGGAGGTTCTGATGTGCTGGCGTGCGTACACACAATCACTGGGACGGAAGGGGCTGGAACAGGGTGGCAGTGTAGACTGGCTGGTGGGGCTGGTGCACCCGCAAGCCCTTCAGGAAACACCTGGGGTTTGGGGGTGTTGCTGATGGTCAAATGCAGACCCTCAGAATGTGAGGCCCTCCGGTAATCGCACACCGTTTCTAACTGTCGCACATTACTGCCAGCGTTGCCCAGCACAGTCTTTCTGCTACACCCGGCGTCCCTGCTCGCTCTCTCCCACCCATGGTCCGTCTCAGTGTTCTAACCACGTCATTCTTCCCCTCAGTTGTGACCCTGAAGTGACTTCCAGACTTGACTGCGCGTGCGAGTCCCCTGGGGTTCTTGCGAAGGTGCGGATTTCGATCTGGTAGGAGATTCTGCGTTTCTCACAAGTTTGCCAGCGGCTGCTGGCCCCTGGACCACGTGTGGAGATGATGAAAGAGACGGCACAGGGGCGACAGACTTGAGAGCAGGGACCTTACGTGTTGTTCAATCCCTTAAGCTTAACACGACAGTTTATGCAAAGCCGGCACTGGCTGAGTTCTGGTAGGCGCATTTTATACGCATCACGATTTAGATAAATGAATGCTCCCAGATAACACTGATTGGCCGGTTGCTTGAAGGCACGAGTCCTACCCAGAACGGTACCCGGTACCCGGTTCAAGAATGTAGGCTCCTCTAAAGTCAGGGTGTGACATGCCTCACCCAGCTCTCCTAAGTAGGGTCACTTACCTGCCTCATACTTCCCCGAGGGCTAGCAGTGCCGGTACCGAGACCTGGAAAACAGCATTTGAAAACCATTCATCATCAGATCTGTGGTTTCTGTTTTACGCTTGTTTTATTTAAAACTCACAAAATAGAATATTCCTAAGTCGTGCCTAGTTTCTGATCTCCGTGTTTTCACTCTACAGCGATAGTTACTTGAAGGCAGCTAGGCAGACACCCCGGTCCTTGCTCCCTGGCGGAGTTCATAGAGGGCGCTGCCTTCTCCCCAGTTCTGCGCTACAAACATTTTACATGAATGAACTTCTATTAAACAATGTCTATTAAAGTCTCCATTTTGTTTCCAGGATGTTCTGAGCCTTTGTGTCAATGCTTAGTGGAATACAGTTGGAGAAACTAGGAAGAGCTGACATTTTGTTGATAACTGTGTGTGATTGCGGTGAGCATTTTACTTGCGTTTTCTCACTGACTTAACAAGAGCCCCATGAAGTGGATATTTGTATGAATCCTGATGAAGTTACTGAGGTACCAGAAGATTAAGTAATTTGCGTAAGATTTTAACAAGTGAGAACCCAGGATGTAAAATTGCACTTATTGGGCCCCGCACCAGGCTCTGCACTGACAGCATGGAGTCTGCTTGGGATTCTCTCCCCCAATCCCCCCATTCTGTCCCTCCCCTCCTCTCTCTCTCTCTCTCAAAATAAATAAACATTTTTAAAAAATATATAAAATAGCACTTATTGGAAACTGGGATAACACCCTCCTTCCCCTCCAAAATAAATGTGTACAGAAAAAAAAATGTATGCTGAGGTACCAAGGAGGGCATGGTGCTTGCAAGGAGTTGGTGGGAAAGAGAAAACACCAGATTGCAGAGGAGGCTTTACACCAGAAGGGGAGAGTGTTGGGCAATTTATTAGCGTGTTTTCTAGGTCACCTTTCTCTTCCCAAACAGGCTTTTACTTCACGTAGCGGATGAGAATAGAGAGTAATTCAGTAGCAATAAAATCAGACAGCCTATACACGCAAGAATTATTTTACCTGCTTTCCTAAGACTGTCCCCTCTCTCTGCCCCTAACATCTCCAGCATTTGCAGGAGGGACACTCTTTCCAGTTCATCCAGGGTTGATCTTGTGTCTCCATCATGTGCTGCACAGAGTAATAACAGGTTAGTAGCTTGGTCCATCCTTCAGTCTGTTCCCTATTGTCTTTTGGGGGCTCAAGGACAGAGAGAGAACACTAGAAATTCCTCAAATGCTAAGTTCATGATTTGTCAGTGGCATTTTAACAGAGAGGTGGAAATGCTGTGGTCCGATTCACAAGCCGGCAGGCCAGACAACCAAGAGGGTGGATCTAATTCTGTTTTCTGCCTTGTGTGACTTTGCCAAGCCGCTCGCTGCCTTGAATAGAGAGTGGAGCTGAGCCACAGGGCCAGTTAAAGAAAACTTCCACAGGGGCGCCTGGGTGGCTCAGTCAGTTGAGGATCTGACTTGGGCTCAGGTCATGATCTCACAGTTTGTGGGTTCGAGCCCCACGTCGGGCTCTGTGCTGATAGCTTGGAGCCTGAGCCTGCTTTGGATTCTGTGTCTCCCCCTCTCTTTGCCCCTCCCCCGCTTGTGCTCTGTCTTTCTATCTTAAAAATAACTTGTGCTCTGTCTTTCTATCTTAAAAATAAACATTAAGAAAACTTTTTTAATTTGAAGAATTTGTTTAGAAAAAGCTTCTACCTGAAAAGTAGTTCTTTCCTGTTTCTGTTTATCTACTGCCTATTGCCGCAATTATTGAGTTATTATTATCATATAGAATATAGAAACAGTAGATAGAGACTTTGATAGTAATAACATTTTTAATGTGAAATTTGGTCAGCTTGTACGGTAAGTGTGCGTAAGATGTGTGGAATGTGCATGCACGGCGTGTGGAACGTGTGTGGAAGGTGGGAGGTGTGCTCAGCGGGCACTAGGTGTCCGGATGGCTCTCTGGGCTGGCGGCCGCACACTGAGATCAGAGGCCCCCAGAGTCCTAACCACCCGCGTGCTGGCTGCTTCCAGAGGCTCAGCCACAGCCTTGACTGGGAGACGGCGCACTGAAGGCATCTGAGCACAGCATTTCTGAGGATTATTCATGAAAATCTATACAATGTGGCCACATGTAAGTGTGTGTGTGATGAAAGCCCATTTATGTCAAAACAAATACATTAGGAAAGGCAGGAACTTGAAGGCAGACTGCCAACCCATTTAGAATCTGAATGAGATGCTACACTGACCTACGTTTTAAAAAATCATGATAATACGTACATGTTTGAAGATGACAGAAATATCTGAATAGTCAGTCTTGATTTCATCTTGTGCTTGCTTTCCACTGTTCTTTTTAAATAGCAGAGACTCACTAAAGTCAATGCCTGTTTTTTATTTTTATTTATCTTTTAAGAGAGAACATGAGTGGGGCAGAGGGGCAGAAGGAGAGAGAAGATCTTTAAGCAGGCTCCATGCTCAGCACAGAGCCTGACATGGGCTCGTTCCCACAACACTGAGATCGTGACCTGAGCGTGAATCAGGAGTCAGACACTTAACCAACTGAGCCACCCAGGCGCTTCTCAGTGCCTGTTTGGACCATTAATGTGACTGACAAGAGGCCAGGGGCTGTGGACATGGGTGACTGACCACCAGGGCTTGCTGATCAGCAAAAAGCCTCTTGGAAGAAACTTTAGAGACAAGAAATTATAATATCAATTATAAAATCAATGATTCAGAAGAGGTTTTTTCTTTACTTAAAAAAGTCTAAAAGAACCCAAAATTAAAGACAAGATAAAAATCCAGTTAAAGTTTTAATGGAAACTAGTAACCAAGCATCAGCCTTTTCATTTCTTAAACTAAGAGGAAATAGCAAAATGAGTATCTGCTTGACTAATTTTTTTAATTCAACTTGAACTGAATGAAACATAAATCAAAAGGACAAGATACTTGTACTTGGAAATAAATGTCATCCCTAGCTCCAGATCATCATTTTTTTATTTTTTAATATTTTTGCCTCATATAACACATGTCAGGTGATTACTTTTTAACTTTATATCAAATAGTTCTAATCTACAATTGGAACAACCAAATTCTACATCCAACCAGTTCATTGAAGATAGAAACTAAAAGTAATGATGTTTTAAATGCAGTACAAATTTTAAAATTGGGGGGAAAATCAACCATAACAGCATTTTGGGTTCCAGAAGTGACATGAAATAAGCAAAGCTACCCTTTCTACTCCTAGGTTTTAGAAAGAAAATAAAAAGTCTGCAGTGTGCTGTAAGGATCCTCTAGTATTCTATCCAGAGCTAAGACTTAATTTAACAAGACCCCTTCAAGAAAGAATCCCCATCCTTATCTCCAACTTTGCATTTAAGACCCTTAAAGAGTCCTTCAAGATGAACCTAAAGGGAGCAAGTCCATCTTACCTGAGAACTTCAGAGCCTCTTTTCTGGAGTCGGGGACGGGCAGAGAGAAGAGAGGTTGTAAGCATCCTATGAAAAGCAGACAACAAGAGACCAGCTTATACATGGTTGGCAAGAAGCAGATGTCTTCCTTCGTGGCCTCTGTTGCTCAGAACCTTCAACTTGCTCCTCATTCTGTGATCAGCGATTATATATATGATCCTATGACTCATATCACCCCCTCCAAAAAATTAAATTTATTGGCTATGGAGGCTAAAAGGCAATCACTTTGCATTGATGTAATTTTTCAAGGTTAACAACTCATAGACAATAAATTTACTGTCATTGCCTAGTGCACAAAGTAGGTATTATATAAAGACAGAACAGTTAGTTTTATAAATCTGGCCAAAAGAGTAACTGAGAGCAATAAGTCATAAATTCAAGAAAGGGTCACACCGGAGCTGAAGTGGCCAAGGCGAGGACGTGAGTCCCAGCGGGCGTGATGGAGGGCATGACGTGGAATATGTTGGTTTCCCTTTTTCTGCTCTCTCTGGAGTGATAGATGAACCCACTGTTGTGTTGGGGGCTGCCATGGCCAAAGAATGACAATGGTCGGATTAAAACTTAAAATCAGTTCTTTAGTGAAGACAAGTTAAAATGTACAGCAAACTTTCGGACGCAAGCAAGCCTTAAATTACAATATTATCCATCATGGGGCACAAGCCAAAAACCCTCGCTGATCAATATTTCCCATGCCTGCCTGCTGGTTTTCACTCCCGCTCTGCCCCACCAGTGTCCACACAGCACAGGGGTGCCTCTGACACATGAGTGTGATCATGTCGGGTCCTTGCTCGAAACCCTCTGTGGACCTGAAATAAAAGTTAAAACTACAGAATGACTAGGGGAAAAAACCCATGAACCTCCCTCACCCCCTGCCCCACAACCTTGGGGTAGGCAGACATTTCTTAGCTGAGTGAGACACCAACCACATAAACAAAAAATGGATAGATTCAACTGCACTGGAGTTAGAAACATCCGCTCTTTGAGAGATGCTGGTAAGAAAATGAAACGACCGGTACTGCTGCGAGAAAATAGTCACAAAACAGGTGCCTGATGAAAGACTTCTCTGTAGAATCAAAATATACATAAAGAACCGCAACTCAGTAAGCCAACAACGCAAGTAAAGGAATGAACACATACTCCACAAGAGAAGGTATACAAGTAGCTAATAAGGACGTGAGGAAGTACTCAGCATCGATTCCATCAGAGAAAGGCAAATGAAGATCACAGTGAGGGGCTAGCACACACCCACCTCAGTGGCTGCAACCAAAAAGCCCGACAGTCCCAGGCGTTGGCCAAGGTGCAGAGAACATGGGGGATCATAAAACAGCACAACCGCAGGCTTGGGGGGCTCAGTCGGTTAAGCGCCCAGCTCTTGATTTTGGCTCAGGTCATGATCTCCCAGCTTGTGAGTTTGAACCCCACACTGGGCTCTGCAGTGGCGGCGCGGAACCTGCTTGGGATTATTTCTCTCCGTCTCTCTCTGTTCCTTCCCCACTTGCGCTCTCTCTCAAAATAAAAAATAAAAACCAGAGGGGCTGTACCAGTTTACATTCCCACCAACAGTGTAGGAAGGTGCCCGTTTCTCCACATCCTCGCCAGCATCTAGAGTTCTCTGATTTGCTCATTTTAGCCACTCTGACTGGCGTGAGGTGGCATCTCAGTGTGGTTTTGATTTGTATTTCCCTGATGAGGAGGGATGCTGAGCATCGATTCATGTGTCTGTTGGCCATCTGGATGTCCTTTTTGGAGAAGTGTCTGTTCATATCTTCTGCCCATTTCTTCACTGGGTTGTTTGTTTTTCGGGTGTGAAGTTTGGTGAGCTCCTTATAGATTCTGGATATTAACCCTTTATCTGATATGTCATTTGCAACTATCTTTTCCCATTCCGTTGGTTGCCTATTAGTTTTCTGGGTTGTTTCCTTCACTGTGCAGAAGCTTTTAATCTTGATGAGGTCCCAATCGTTTATTTTTGCTCTTGATTCCCTTGCTTTTGGGGATGTGTCAAGTAAGAAGTTGCTGCGGTGGAGGTCAAGGAGGTTGTTTCCTGCTTTCTCCTCTAGGGTGTTGATAGTTTCTTGTCTCACGTTCAGGTCCTTTATCCATTTTGAGTTTATTTTTGTGCATGGTGTGAGAAAATGATCTAGGGAGAGAGGCAAACCATGAAAGACTCTTGAATGCTGACAAAAACTGAGGACTGATGGATGTGGGGGGAGGAGGGATGGGCGTGGAGGAGGGCACTTGTGGGGATGAGCACTGAGTGTTATGTGGAAACTAATTTGACAATAAGCTATTTGTAAAAAAATAAAAATAAAATAAATAAAATAAAAACCAGCACAACCTCCCTGGAATAAAGTTTGTAACTTTCTTAGAAAGTTAAACATACGTTAAACTACGCAGCCCAGAAAGCCGGCTGGTAGGTCTACACGTGCTCCAGTGAGATGGATTCACACACCCAAGGACACTTGTATGCAAACGCTCACAGCAGCTTTGTCCACAGTAGCGGAAAACTGCAAACAGCGCCATCTCCATCCACAGACGCATGGACGCATAAGCCGTGCTGAATCACATGAAGGAACTCCGCTTAACAACACAAAGGAGCTGCTGATAAACACGTGATGAATCACAAGAGTTTTATGCTCAGTGAAATAAGCCAGGCCCAGGAGAGCACATGGGACATGACTCCATGTAAATGACGTTCTAGAACTTGCAGCACACACCCCTGTGGGAGGTGGAGGATTGACTGTGCAGAGACTAGGGAACTCACCAGGGTGATGAAAAGGTTCTGTGTCTTGACCAAGGCAACAGTTACATGGTTATACATTGACCAAAACTCAGACTGTACGCTTAACACACGTGCATTTGATTGTACATAAATGATACCTGCAGAAGGGCGATTGTGTTTGAAGTCTCCCTTGAATCCCATTTCTTGTTTCACTCCTTCCAATACCGCTCGCCCCTTACAGCTAAAGCCTACTGCTTCCCGAACACATTCCTGCCGCAGGACCTTTGCAGTGGCTGCTCCCTACCTGAAATGTTCTTTGTTCAGACATGTGCCTGGCTCTCTTCCTCACCTCCTTCATGCGTTTGCTAGAACACTGCCTCCTACACGAGGCCCTCCCTGACCTTGCTGCTTAAAAATTGCAGCAAAGCTGCCCCCAGCCCTACCCATCTCCTCCCTTGTTCTATTTGTCCCACTGCACTAAGCGCCTTCCAGCACGGTTATGTATTTTAGGTCGTTATTTGTATGCAGTAGGCACTCAGTAAATGTCTGTGGAATCAGTGAGGGGGGCACCAACCAAAGTGTCAGGCCTTGTTTCACGGAAAGAACAGCAAACAAAGCAAGTTTCCACTCCTGTGAACTTACAACAGACAACGAAGCGAACATTTGCCATAATTTTTTGTGCTATGATGAGGAATCAAGCATAGTGGGGAGACAGTGCAGTGAGGCCGGCGGTCAGGGAAGGTGTTAGTTCAGCCAGGACAGGCGGGCCGCCTCAGGGAAGGGGACATGTGAGCAGAGACCCAGATGGCGTGGGGGAGCCGTGCATCTGGAGGACCTCCCTGGGGAAGCAGAGGGGCGCCTGGGAAGCGGGTGGGCACTCACAGAAGAGCCCCAGCACCGGCGGGAGAGGGGCACGTACTGCTGATGGGCAGGAACCATCCAGCACAGACCACTGGGATGGGCAGCACAAGGGTCGTCCGTGCCTCGACAGGGACGGACGGGGCAATTTCACACACTCACAGGTCTGGTGGGACGGAGGGTGGTCGTCTTACTGCAGATTCATCTACGCATTTGGCAGACATCCGGCCCCTATGAGGCGCTGTGCTGCCAGGTGAGGGACACAGCCGTGGACCAAGACCACAGAAAGTGGCTCTCAAGAACCTGACGGCTGGGGCGCCTGCGTGGCTCAGTCAGTTCAGTGTCCGACTTCGGTTCAAGTCAGGATCTCGCGGACTATGAGTTCGAGCTCCACGTCGTGCTCTGTGCTGACGGCTGGGAGCCTGGAACCGCTTTGGATTCCGTGTCTCCCTCTCTCTCTGCCCCTCCCCCCTCAAAAATAAATATTTAAAAAAATTAAAATAAATAAAAAGAACCTGATGGCAGCTGGATTGGCACCTACAGAAACCACTGAGATCCAGCTTAAGAAAACAAGTGTAGAGATGCCTGGGGGCTCAGTCGGTTAAGTGTCTATCTGACTTTGGCTCAGGTCATGAGCTCACAGTTCGTGGGTTCAAGCCCCGCGCTGGGCTCTGTGCCGACAGCTCAGAGCTTGGAGCCTGCTTTGGATTCTGTGTCTCCCCCTCTCTCTGACCCTCCCCTGCTCGCACTCTGTCTTTCTCTCTCAATAATAAATAAACATTAAAAAATATTAAAAAAAAAAAAAGAAAACAAGAGTATTGGAATGACACAGGATAGCTTCTAGAATACAAGGGGCTGTGCAGGAAGTGCAGAACCAGAACCCCACCAGGACCTAGAGTGACAAGAATTCCTGCTCCTGTGACCTCTGACCTTTGCCCTTTAGTGACCTGAGTCACACTTAGTCCCTCCCTCTTCCTTTCTCTCTCTCTCTCTCTCTCTGATTCTACACTTTCTTGCCTTGACGTCTTTCTGTCCTTTGTATCTCCTTCTTTCTCTTTGCAAAACTGGCTTTCTTCTCTTTTCCACATGTATTTGACCAAACATATACTCCACTGCCCAAAACTTGCCTTTCTTCCATTTAAGAAGATCAGCTCAGGGGCACCTGGGTGGCTCAGTCAGTTGATTGACTTCAGGTCATGAGCTCACAATTGGTGAGTTTGGGCTCACTGTTGTCAATCAAAGAGCCCACTTGGGATCCTCAGTCCCCCTCTCTCTGCCTCTCCCCCACCTACACTCTCTCAACAATAAACATTAAAAAAAAGATCAGCTCAGACACATTATCTTTATATCCAATTTGCAAATTCCTAGGAGAGAGGGTTAGACCGGCCCAGTTCAGCAGGGCTGTTGCTGAACACCCCCTCGGAGGGTGCTGGGGCAGGTATTGCACAAGAGAGGATCATGGTCCCAAAGGACATCCCAAATGG